TAAAAACATTTTGTTTGTTCTGTTTCCTCTGTGGAAAATATAGGAAAAAAACTACTTAGGGGTGTCTGTCAGAGTCTGGTGCTGGGCTTACGGGGGGGGCTGGGGTCAGCAGGGGGATCTGGGGGCACAGGGAAAGGAGTCGGCGAAGGAGGCTTGGACAGACCACGGCTGCATTTGTTTACTAAAGCAACTCCACCTGACTTCCAAGGCAGCTTGGGCATTGGATTGCTTTGGGAACAGGTGGAGTGGATAAATCTGAAATCTAGAAGCTGAGTGGCACCTCTTAGGAAATTTTTGGAAAGGCAGTTCCTAGTCATTGTGAAGCCCTATTTGCCAAAAATACAAACTTTTCTGTTTTTAACTTTCTATATTTGGGTTGTGGTGGGTTTTATCTTTTTCCATTACTCAGAATTTTGTTTTCCATTCCCCCTCAGCTCTTCCCTCCTTCAGGACCTGCTGAAACACTTGGGTTTTGGTTTTTAAAGTAGCACAGAAGGCAGCTGCCCTGGGATCAACAGCCAGCCTGGAGATCCCTGTGGAGGGATGCTCTCAGATCTTCCTTGAGCACTGACAATGCCCTTGAGCTCCGGATCCCTGTAGTATCTGCACCTGAGATTTGCCAGTGCTGCGGGAACCATTTTAAAATAGAGCTTCACAACTTTTGGCCAAACCCCCATGTCTGCTGGGGGGAGCAGAATCTGTCCAGCTCCCTCCTGCCTCTCCCTTCCAAAGTCCCTGGGGATGAAGCCATTTGAATGGGAAGGGACAGTCATTTTCAAACCGCAGCGCAGTCAGACATTTACGAAAGATTTGGCTCACAGGGAGCTGGTTCAGCCACTTACTTTCTTGAATATGTTCTTGAATATATAAATATGTCTGTCTTCTATCAAATAAAAGGAAATATTCCTACTGACAAATCATCATGACGACTCCCAGACTGGGACTAGTAAACCCCTGAGTGTGGGACGAACAGCAGCTGGGTCACAACGTTGCCCAAAGCCATTAGTTTCTTCCTCCATCCTCAACGTCCCTGTGATTTCTCCTTTTTTTCGGCTGCAGCCCCTGGTCACCCCCTCCAGCGCTGCAGCAAGTGGAGCCCAGGGACCCTCCAGCTGCTCAAGCTGAGCCGCGAGCTCACCTTGTGAAACACCAAGCATGTGCTTTCCCAATTTGCTATCCTAGCAGTGCCACCAAGGGCTCTTGCTGAATATATACTTATATATGTGTATATATATGTACCTATATACGTGTATGTGCAGAGACAGGGGCCAGCAGGTCTCCGTCAGCCTGAGCTGCCTGCTGAGGAAGGCACGGTCTATGCCACGCACTCAAAAAAAGTCTTGAATGGTACCAAATTTTAAGAACAACTCATCTGAAAGAGGAGACATAGCTCTGGTATCAGTTGCTGTTGTAATTAAACTTGCCTAGATTTGTATAAATGTACATTCCTGCCTTAAAAACCAGCTCTCAGATCCAGTTAAAAAGTGCAGATGTCCAGCTAGTGCTGGGAGGCGACCAGGCTGCAAGAACAAATTTCCCTGTAGCTTCCGACAGCTTAGCAGAGAAACTAAATGTTTTTCAAATGGGCCAAGTAAAACCGAGCGGCCAAAGGTCGGAAAGACTTTGACCCCCCCCCATTGCTACGGTTCACAATGAGTGGGAATCCCCCCCTTTACTGTGTGCCAAATGAAGCATGCAAGTTCTGCAGCACTGGTCTTCAATGGGGTCTTTCTGAAGTAATGAACCAAAAGTATCTTAGAATGACAAAGTGAATGCATCCTGGTCACCATGCATCCTGTATCTCTAATGAAAAGCATGATTTAGGGCTTTTCTTCTGTGTGTGCTGTTCATAGCCACGGCTCTTTGGGACGCTCGGAGGGGAAGGCTCTGCTGGGGTCTCCGGTCAAACACATACGTGTTCTCGGTATGAGTGGTGCGTCACCAGCAGGAACACCGGCACTGGTGGGCTTCCTTCTGCTCTGCCAGGGCCTGGCTGAAGGATGCCAGCCATGGAGCTCAGGGACCTCTGTGATGGGGGGCTGACATATTCTTGCTTTTCTCTTTCATAGTCTGCTCTAATTAACCTAGCAAAAAGGATAAACTTGCTTTCCTGGCAAACCATCCTTAGATACCCCCGGGAAAAGCGTCTTTCTATTTCAAACATCTTTTGATTCATAATTGCTTTCCTGCTTTCCTTTGCACACCACTGCAGCAGTTATTTCTGAATAACATCATTCTTGTGTCAACACATTAATAAAAGCGTCTTTAAGAAAGGAAAACAAGGCATTTCTAGTTAGTTCCTTGGTTACAAGGAGCAAGTGAAAACACGGATACTAACAAAGCCAAGCAAGTAAATATCCAGATCTGCTCCTGGGAAAGGTCTGGCTTTGCTGCGAGAGGAGGAGAGGAGCTCTGCACGCACGTGCTCCTGCGTCCCTGTGGCTTAAAGCAGATTCTGCCGTCAGACATGTCAGAGCTAGTGATGGCAGGGCCAGGGAGTCAGAACTGCACCAGTTCTGGAGAGTTTTCCATTTACAGTTGCAGCCCATTTTGCAAGCTGTAGGTGTCTGATTGAAGGAAAATATTGTAGGTATTTAGGCAAGATGTGGTTATTACTTATAATGCAGTTTATGTGCTTGTAGGAGGCCTGGCTTATTATGTGGCTAAAAATCAGACAAAATGCCCTTTTACTAGAGATTCCCACGCTGCAATGCAAACTTCTCTAGCCTCAGCACCCACCAGAAAACTCCACAGTTTGGGAGCCACTGGGCTGAGGGGCTGGCTGGCTATGCTTTTGGTCTAGATGAATTCCTGCTGCTCCTGGTCTGAGCAGCAGGGAACTGGCTCTGCTCAGCCCTTCCCAGACGGACACTGTGCTGTGTCATCACAGAGCTGGGGCACCCACTCTGCTCTGCAAACCCCGAGGCTTCAGACGTGTCGGGGTTGGCCCTTCTTGAAACAGAAAGGTTTCAGGGTTGAAACAGCAAGTTTTTCCCTGGCTGCTGCGGTTCCCTGTGCTGCCGAGACCCATGCCGGTCAGGGCTGCAGGGACATGAAGGTGCTGGTGGGGATCGTGCTCTGGCCATGAACCAGCAGCCATGGCTGTGCTGGCTGGGGACGCCCAGGCACCGGCTCCACTCGAGGGTGCCGGGCTAACAAGAAAACCTGCTTGCCACACAGCACACGACGCACAGAGCTCTCGCAGAAGCTCAGTGCCTTTGATTTAGGGCCCGTTTCATCAGCGTATTCCCAAAGGTTTATGTTTGGCCAGGCTGAAGCATTTATGAAACAGCAGCTGCTGTATGAAACAGCAGTACTCCCCTCGGCTGCAATCGCTTCTCCGGCATTCCTGACACCGATGCCCAGACGGTGCAATGGGTTTGTCTGGGTCTCCTGTGGGAGGAATTATCCTGTGCCCTCGTCCCGGCCATGGATGTGACCCTGCGCACGGTCAGGTACTGCAGGAGAGGCTCACCAGGTCAGGTTACCAGTGAAAGGAATCGATTTGCAGCGGCTGAAAGCAGAGGCTGGAGCCTTTTGATCTGTGAGTCACCAGTGGGCTGCCAGCAGTTACCCCATCAACCCAGCTCACATTTTAATCACACAAATCCCAGTTGCAAACAGCAGCCTTAAATGATTTTCAGATGCAAACTGATTGCCCCCTTTTGCTGCAGCTAACAGAGTGATCACACCCCCGCTGTTGCCAGTAACTAAACTGTCTCCCCTTAACTGCATTTTCAGTGAAAAATCCCTCAAAATTTCCCAAGGGGAAGAGAAAATATGAAACCCAACCAATTTTCTTCAGTAACTGTTTAATTTAACACGCTCGTGAGCTATAGCCATTAAACCCCAACACATTCAGTTGCTATCCCTTAGCAAAACCTGGGAGCACGACAGAAGCATGGGACAGATGGTGCCGGTGAGAAGGAAAACAGGACTGAACACAGGCTCTTGAAACATAAAAATTTACACCACGTTGGAAAGGAATAAAACACAAATGGTGAAGTCATGGCTTCTGTTTTACGTACAAATTACACACAGGAATTTCCCCTGTTATGGGACTGAATGTTGTTCCCGACAGCACAGGGGAAGAAGAAACGCACCCTGGGCTGTGTGACCGCATTGCACGCACGGCGCGGCCAATGCTGTGCTTGAGCCCTTCTTTGTTCAATGCAGGTAGGGTTGCCTTCATGGTCTCCCAGTTTTGGGGTGTCCTCCATAGCCTGAAGAGTCATATGGAAGGGAATTTCTACCGAAACGCTCCTGACCCTCCACCGGGGACCGACCTAACAGCAAATCCTACCTAAGACGGGGAGGAATTAACACACGACACCCCCAGACTGGGCGCTAAGGGCTGTGCCAGCAAAGTGCCGCTCCTTGTACAATATTGGATATTCTAGTTAAAAGAATCAGCTAAGCTTAACAGAGTAGAATCTATATAAACAGGAAAAAAGGTTTTTAGCTTGTAAGAACACAGAAAAACACCTTAACCAACCATTAAATTGCTATGCCATAACGGCATACAGAAACCCAGGTGTGTAAGTACTTTTTGCTGCTCACGAGGAAGGATGCAGCGAAGAGGATGCACTGCTCACCACTGGGCCCAGAGCAGCTTTCCCTCTCCTTCACAAATACATGCAAGGGAATGCGCTGTTGGACTCCAAAACCAATGTGTCATTTCACTTGTGCCTTGGTGTCCCTGACCATCCCCTCTGCTCCAGAGTGATAAGAGCAATGGCTTTGGCACACAAATCCAGCAGCGGGAAGATGAGGGTATGGAGTCTTCGCACACACCATGAGCCCTGGACTCGTGGGGGTAACTAAAGCCGATACTTTATCCCGCTGCCCTGACTCCACTTCTCAAATTATGGCTATTTAGCTTCAGTGCGTAAACATTTTAATGTAAATTACAGAAATGGGTTGCCAGCTTCAAGTTCCTTAAGGAAAAAAAAACCTAACCCAAATGGTCGGCTGTACTGGTGGAATGCTAGATGCTCACTTCATATATATAAAAATAATAATAAAGGTCAAGAGTTTTGTGCTGGCCTGCCAACACCATCAAGAGGCTGAAAATGTCAAATGATAGCACCATAAGCATTTCTGAGAGGTCTCCCGTGAATCATTGCTGCTTTCGGTTTCCCTTTCCCAAAATGTTTCCCCGCCGGTCGCCCAGCGGCAGCGTGACCCTGACGGAGGGTCCCGGCTGCCCCAGCATCTCCCGCAGGACCAGTGGGACCTGCACACCCAGCCCACGCCAGACCTTATTTTTCAGACTGATGGTTTGAGCACCGTTATAGTGTAGCACAAATAAAAGAAATCAAGCCTTCCCCGTGTTTTGAAAGAGCACCGCGCAGCTTGCGGGCAGCACCGTCCGGCGCTGCCGTGGGACGAGGCAGAGCCGCAAGTCCTGGCTGTGACCCGGCTCCCTCCTTCGCCATCGCCACGCTGCTCTGGGAGCTGCCGTGGGTCCTGGCGCTTCTTGCCCTTGGGGACGGTCCTGTCACCTCCTGGAGGCCCGCTCGTCCCCGCGGTCCCGGTCGGGTGCTGCACGGTGCTGGTGCTGGCGGCAGGTTCGGCAGCACTGGAGGTGGACCGTCGGGAGGTGGCACCTTCCCAGGACCCGCAGGGTCTGGCAGAAGCCGAATGTCAAGCGGTCACGCTCGCAGACGAAGCCTGGAGGGGAGGCGAGAGGGCAAGGACAGCGTTATTGCCGGTGCTGCCGGTGCGGTTATCAGGCGTTTGTTGTGAAAATTGGCATGCAGTTGGCAGAGACAAAGACAGACCTCAGCAAATGCAGAGCCCACCCTCATCTGGGTACCAAGCATCCTTGCTATTTCTAATTGCCAGCAGAAATTACACCTCTGCTGTTGTCTACAGTTCTGCAGCATCTGCCCAGGGTAGAGAAACCATACGGGGGAGCAGGGTTGAGCCCAGGCTCGCTCCCTGGGGAGGAGGGTCTGTGCTGGAGGCCTGGGAGAGGCGACAAACCTCCCTGCAATGATATCTCCTCCCAGCCCCCAGACCTTCCCTGCAATGCCAACAGAAGGCAGCAGAAAGGCGATAATTCATTTTAATTTGCATTGTGTTTAGATTACTTCGAGAACCCGCATCATCTGGTTTGTTTCCTGCAGGTGTCTTGCAAACCTCAAAACAACATCGTCACTGCTTCGAGGATGGGCTTTGTCTGGGAACCACTGCTCCAGTGCCAGCACCCGGCCCTGCTGCGGGGGCAGCCCCCGGGCCAGCTGCAGCAGCGGCTGTGGTGGCCATGGGTCGCACCCCAGCTGTCCCAGCTGAGTCACCCGCAGGCTGAGCAAACTGTTTGCAGAAACTGTTTCCTCTCTGCAAACAGTCTGGAAATCACAAATCCCTCTCCAGGGCTGGGAGCGCCACGTCAGGACGTTTGGTCCAGCGCTCGGGTTCACAGCACGGGGAGACATGAGCGCTGCCCCAAAGAGACCTTGCCCTTGGGGTGCGATAAGACAGGACATCCCACCACCCCAAAACACCCTCACGCCTGCCACTGCATGCAAACCATGGTGCCATGCAAACCACGGTGCTGGGCATCCCGTGGGATGGTGCAGGACGTGGTGAGAAGGGGTCAGCCCTCCCCTGTGCCATCAGCAGAGGCTGCAGAAATCAGCCCCAGCAGCTCCCAGCTCCATCGCCAGCCAGACTGGGCTCAAACAGGCTGCCTCTCAGCTCAGTTAGGGCAGCAGAGACCCATCACCAAATACGCGTTGCTTATAAGAATATATAGTTGGGTTGCTTTAATTTTTAACTTCTTCCTTTTCTACTTTATATCAAAACAAACATGCACCGCCTTGAGCCTCCAGCATCTCACCCAGTTGTATAAGACTTGTTGAAATTATATCAGCTCTGTCTAATTTTACCTCCTGTACAAATGATTAAAACAAATGACAGCTCCTCTCTGAAGAAGGGCAGAGTTGATGCTCTTGGGGCAGACACCTGGAGCCAGCACCCCATGGTCCCCCCGCACTGCCTCTCCCCAGGAACCCTCTGCCTGGGCCCATGCTGAGCAGATGCAGAAACAGGGCAAGAAAATGGTTTTCTCTCTTTCTCAGGAGACTTTTCTGCTGGGGAAACACTGGGACTGAGCCAGGAGAGCTCTCACTGACCATTGCCCCTTGCCGTCTCCCCTCTGCGAACAAAAGGCTTTGCTCAGGGAAAGGCTGCTGCCCTGATTCTCACAGGGATGAGCCGACATGCAGCAGTTAATGCAAAGGACTCAGCAGATGCAGAGCAGAGACTTTTCCCCCCATTTGGGATTTCAATCACAGCTCTCACACCCCCGGCCCCAGCCCATCAGCAAGGAGGTTACTATACTGGTCTAAAATTAATTTTCTATTTCAGTAGAGGTACCTCCTCTCTTCTTCTTGAGCAACAGCTCTTTCTGCCCAGCAATAGTGTCTCTGTGCCCTGAAGAAACCATTTAACACAGAAGCTGCTGCCGGCCAGTGGTGTCGGATCCAACAGCTGCCGACAGACTGGGACTGAGCGCCGGATCCCAGCCACACATCACACTCGCGGGCTGGGGGTTTGGTCCAACCCACTGGGTGCTGGGGGATAATGCAGAGTTTTCCTGCTGGTTGAGCAGAGTAGACAAGGAATTGCTGTGAAGCCCAGAGGGTTCGGGCCCGGGAGCGGCGCACACCCCCAGCCCTGCCATGAGAGCAGCCACGCTGCGCAAGAGCACCAGAGCCAGTCAGGAAAAGGGAAGCGTTTGCTCGTGCGATGCTCCATTGGGGTCTCATGGATGGTATTCCCGAGGAGCATCCCTGTGGCTCTGGCACGGCATCCCCTGAACCCCCAGAGCCCTTTCACATGGGGACATTCATGCACACAAATATATGTATTCCCGTTTGCATGTGCTGCAGGACTGGGATGCCTCAAGCAGGGATCCTAAAACACCTGTGGGGTGTCTGATGACAGAGAAAAGCCTGAGGGCATGTCAGCCTGGAGGACTGCCCCATCCTGTCCCCTACGGCTGGCGACAACAATACCAGGGTGCACCAGCTGAGTTGTGCCTTAAAAAGCACTGGTGCCCAGTTCCCACTTGGCACACCAATCTCAGCCATCTCTCCCCTCGTGCAGGAATCAGTAATCATTTACTCTTCACTGGGGCACAACCGCTGGGTAACTCCCACCTGCCCAACCTGTACTTCCCACTGGTTTTATGAATTTGTGGTGTTTCGAGTTGCTGGGTTTGGAAGCGATATTGAGTAGGAGAGATGGAGGACACAGCGACAACTCCCAACAGGCACGGACAGGGGCTGGTGTGCTCCAGGGGGGTTAATTAATCACTGCATTGCACCGAGCAAGTGTAACAGCAGTAAAAATTCCACATTGTTTAGAAGAACTTAGTTAAAAATGCTGCATGAATGGATGGGAACGTCACCGGCATTTCAGACGGTCGGCACTGCAGTCCCGGGGCGATGCTCCTGGGGGGATGCTGTGCTGAGGCAGACCCCTGCCAAGCGCCTCGGTATTTTTAGCACACTGCTGCTGTGCCTTGCTGGGCTTGTTTCTGTTCACGAGCCCTCTGCTTATCGCAACAGTCTTCCTAGAAAGCTATTTATGGATCACAATCAAGTTGCCTCCTGTCTTCCCTTGAAAGAGCTGTAAAGGCTAGGCTTCTGGAGCCTCTCGCTGCAAGGTCGCTTTCCAGGACCAGAGGTGATGGTTTAGCTGTTTTCTGATCCCTTTCCAACAGGTCAACACCCTGGGCGCTAGTAGGAAATTCCTGTACCTGCACTACCCAGAGCCGTACACAGGCATAAATAAGCCCATCCGTCTCCTGCCAGGAGTTATTTCTCTTTGTACACCATGTTATCTGCAAAGGTATGAGCCTACTGCAGAATAACAACCAGGATGGGCTTCACGGAGGGCGGAGAAGAGCCACCACCCTTGGCTGGAGGCGTTGCTGCAACTATGCTGACCTGACATGAGACCCCGCAGCAGGACTCTGGGTTTCCAAAGCATTTTAATAAAATGAAGTCAATGGGAGTTGTTCAGTGCTCATCACTTTTCCAGATCAGGCTGTTTTGGTCTGATGTAGCGTCTCAGCATGGATATGTGTGGGGTCAAGCTCAGGTCTGAAAAATCTTGGCTGAGCTCGTGATTCCTCCCTGGAATTGGTCTTGGGCAAGGGAAGCTGTAATAAGCACTTAATTTGTCAGCTCTTCAGAGAGGGTCCCTACAGAATTGACCCAATTTTCATTTAATCCTTTTACTGTTATTTTTTTCTATTAACTATTCTTTTTCATATAATCCTAACACTTCATTTGAACATACGCTCCAGTGTTCAAGTCTATGCCAAATTTTAGTCTAAAGAAATAGCTTAAAGCAGGGCTTTTAAAATCCAGGCTAAGTCAGCACATTAGAAACTGAAAACCCCCACTTTTTTTTGGTTGTTTTTTTTAAGTTGGCGTGGAAGTCGCTTTAAATTTCATTTAAGCTTCTGCCATACAGACCTAAGCATTTACTTTTATGCTCAGGAAAAATAAACTTCCTGGAACAGGTTTTGTAAAAACAAGGAAAGGTTGAGCTTAGAGCTGAGCTAGCAAAACCAGAGAATTAAGCTGCTGACCTCTGGCCTTCGGGATGCTCTCAGAGCCAGTGCTGAATTGAACAAGTATTATCCCAGGCTCCTGCTCCGGGGCCCACGGTGCCCTCCCTGGGAATGAGCACTGGCGAAGGCAGCACATTTCATTGCAGGCAGCACTAGAGCTGCGGCCACCAGTCAGCATGCATGCGATGTATGCTCAGCTGCCAGGTTTGCCTGCACAGGCAGGCACTGATATGGCTGCAGCTTGGAAAAATGGGAGAAAAGCACAAAAACTCCACCGGTTTTCAGGTGCCAGCCCTGCTGCTCCCGGCACATCTCGCTCAGCACTGTCACGGAGCTCCCATTGACACTCCCTGAGCATCCAGCCTGGATTACAGACCAGGGGGAGGAAAATGCTAGTGCTCTGTAAAAGGTTGAGGGGGATTATCCATTTTTTAGAGTCCTTGGATCTGACAGAGAGAAATTCTCATTTCCAAAGAGCTGCGGCAGAGCCGGGACTCTTCCCCACGCTCTGCATTGTCTTCCCCTTCCTTCTCATGAGTGCAGGGAGGGGGAGAAAAAGCTAACTCTGCCGAAACGAGTTGCTGAACGTGACCCTGCCTTCCTTGCCAAAATCCAAAACTGCTTTAAACACACTGAATCCAGAGCTTCCCACAGCCAACCCTGCAAGGAACAGTCGAGCTTGAGCAGACAGTCATGTCACATCTACAGAGTCTTTGCTTCTTTTGCCTTTTTTTTAACGTGAAGATTAGGCAGAGTAAGGATGCTTGCCAGCAGCCCTGAGCCCTCCTCTCTTTCAGGACTGAGGGAAACCGACGCCAGGCAGGACCCTCAGAGCATGACTGCCGTGGCTGAGCACAGTTGTTCTTCCAGCCACGGGTAAAGCACCATTTCTTCATTTTTGTCCTTGCTTTCTCTGTTTTTAGCCCTTCAAGGCCAAGGCCCATATCCTCTCTGCCGAAGGTCGGTCTTTTGCATGGAAAAATATGCCTTTGATGTATTCTGGAGAGTTTTCAAAGAAGTTAAGTAAGGGTTAATCTTTTGTTGTTGGGATTAGGCTTTGCCTCCCATTATCAGAGGCTTGGAGCCCAGGAGCCCTCAGTGCCGTTGAGGTCCATTGCGATTTACACTTTCTAAAACTTAAATCTGCTCAGCAGTTGCCAAGGAGGGACGAGAAGCGTCTCCCACTGCCGCTGGTCAAACCAAGGTCATTTACATAAAAAGCATGCAGCACTGCAATAAGGAAACCCTACCGTTCTCGTCGGGGTGAGGAAACATGCCCTTCCTGCTCCATCTGCCTGATGGTTATGATGGTTTTTTATTCCATTGCCCGAATTTTCATGGAAGCCGCTCTGCAGACATGGCGCAGGTGGATTGGCGTCCAGACACATTACAGGGGACCTGCACAGCATCCTTACTGCTCAGAGCTGGCATTTGCATCAACCCCCTCGGTAGGAAGGGCCGCTATGGGGACAGACTCTGCCAGCCCATGTCATTGAAAGCCTGTTTCTCTGTAAGTCTAAAACGTGTAACATTCATTTCTCCTACACTGAACAAAAACGGGAAATCCTTTCCCAAGCACCCATTTTTCCACTGACACCTGTTGTTAATTAGCAGTAAATAAAGGGCACTTACTTAACAACTTGCTCAGCAGCACTTCCCTGTCTTGCCCCTTGGATACAGACTTACATGCTCAAATGACAGAGAAAATTGGAATTTGCTGCAATTATTTCTAGTATGTATCCCTTGCGGACAAACTCAGCTACATGCAGAACCATGAATAATTTCATTTCCCTACGCAAAGCAAGCAGGAATATAACTTTTAATTGCCAATTAATCTTGAGGCAACTAGAAATACAACCAGACCCTGGATAATGAGCCTGGAGCATGGCAAAAGGCAGCAGTTGAAGAGGGCACCAGCTGTCTGGGATTTGCCCCAGCACGTCCCCGGTGTGAGCAAGGGAGACTTCACCCCTCGCTCCCCCTGAGGCATTGCCCCTCTCACAGCCCCACCAAACACGGTCCCACGTGCTGGCTGCTCCCAGGGCACAAGGCTGAACTCCATCCCACTCCATCCCTTCCCGCTGGCTGGAAACCTCTGTCCCTTTCCCAGAGAAACTGTATCCACGGCCAGTTTATACATATTTGTTCTTGGGCCAGCCAAACGCTTTACCTTAATTCCTTTGGTACTCAGAGCCTGAGACACTTGTGGGAAACAGCTGTGTTTGTTAAGGTGCCTTGGCTGGAGGGAAGAACCGGACCCATCACCTGCTTGGAGTGAATTTGGGGAACTTGCAGTGTCAGATCCAGAGAAATGGGCACAAGGAAAATTATTAATTTTATGACATTTACCACAATGAGTGCCCCATGGGCTGCACACGTTCAGTCCCGAACAGGGTTGTTTCACCCATCACCGATGGGGTCTGGCCAAAAGCCCTCCTGCAGGCACAGCCACTACATCTGCAGCAGCGGGGCGACTGCAGCTCAGTTCACCCATTAGCATTCTCCTCCAATATAAAGCAATTGCTGCTTTTGCGTTTTAAAGCTGTTTGACCTGCTGGATAAACCAGTGCCGGTTTCTCCGAGCTCTCACATGGGACCGGCTGCTCAGCTCCTTTCCAAGATGGCCATAAAACAAAGTGTAATAATTAAACACAGAAATAAACATGTTGTGAGGGTTTTTTTCCAGCTTTCTGAGCTACAAGAAATGATCTGGTAACAGGAGTGGCTGATGCGGTTGTGAGAGCACTGCCCGGGCTCGGAGCTAGGCACCGGTGGAAATCAGACAGCAACAGGCTTTCCTGAGCCAGAGGCTGCTCTTATCTCCCCGGCAGCCCTGCCCGAGGTCTGGCAAATCTGTTCCCGCTCCTGTCGCCCAGGCTGTGCTGTCAGGAGGGGAGCGATGTCCTCCTTGCACCCTCGGATGCCAGCAAGGAGCCGCAGGGCTTTCCCGGCTGCCGCTAGCGTAGGCGAGAGTGATGGCTCTCAGCCCCCGTGCAGATTTTCCTGTGTTGGAGTCGCACTTGTTTGAGTTCCTTGTCTTAGCATGGAGTAAGATAAATGTTCCCAGCCCTGCTGGGGCATGGCACAGAGGCATTTGTGTGCCCAATGGGCTCCGATGGTACCCAGGAGCCACCTAAGGACACGGCCAATCCTATCTTCTCCACTCACAGCTGGATGCAGCTGTAAAACATTTAAAAATAACCCCTGTGTAATCAACAATTAATTTATAACCTGGTGACAGAACAGGATTCTGATTCTGATTAATTCCAAGCTCCTTTAATTGAAGCGAGCTGATTGCCTGTGAGATGTTTGTTTATGCTTAATCTGTTCCATCTCTGTTAAAAATTCATCTGATAATGGTTTTAACATTTAAACTCTACTGGGGTTATTTGCATTTTTGTGTCCAGCAAGAACACGACTGCTCACAAAGACAAATACATGATTTTGCTGGTATCGGTGCACTTCATGTTAGAGGAGATAGAAGCACAAGGAGCCTCTAACATAAACACATGAATCACTCCAGCCTGCATTAATCTTGTGCAGTAAAGATCCTTTAAAACACAGGAAAGGGCTGGAGTTTACGTTCATGCCTTTTCTGGGAGCCTCTGCCTGTGGATTTACACATCTGTGATTTCCTGCCATGTGAAAGTTTTGTTCCTCTTCATGGTTTGGCAGGAAATGTTTGTATTTCCAAGAGGCGTTTCCTGCCCTGGGCTACAGCCAGAGCATTTATGTCATTTTTTTATCCAGGATTTTGACATTTATTTGTGTGCTTCCTACACATCTAAGTGGTTATTCTGGTACAACCTTGGCTACGCCGTGCGGCTCCACAGCTCTCATCACCAAACCCAGCACGGAAATTTTCCCGTGACAAAAATAGCCGGAACCGCACATTATTTCTTGAGCAAGCCTGACTAATTATTTCCTAAAATGCTGAACTGCCCGACAGAGTTGCAAAGGCAGGAGGGTCGCACAGCTGCTGAAAAGGAACGATTTAATGGCTAAAAGCATCCTAATGGCCAGCGGTCACAGCCTCCAAATCCCAGTTAACCAAAGCCAGTGCTTCTGCCCTCTCCAGAATAGGCGTTAGGAGAAGCACGGCTAGATACAGAACAAATACAAAGAGCTGAAAGGATAAGAACGGGTGACCCAGGCTGCAGAGGGGGACCTGCACGGAGGTGTGCGGCAGCCCATGGGGCTGGCTCCTGCACCTTGGGCACCTGCTGCCCCCCTGTCCCGCTCCGGCTCTCAGCCCTCTTTGTTCAACAAACCTCCTGAGGGTCTAACGTTTCTTTCTGGGCAGTCAAAAAGCTTTTTTTTTTTCCCCAGACACATTAAAAAGATAAGGTTGATTAATGATCAACATGCTAATATCAATGACATCTAATCCCCTCATTATATTGCTTTTCCTTCTAAGTGCTGTTAACCCTTGCAGCCCACAGATTTCTGGCTTACAGGGAACTGCCTGGTGCCATGGGAGATATCTCTCTGAGTGAAGGCGAGAGGAGAAGCCTGTGGCATGGCTGAGCACTGCGGCTGCAGCCAGAGCAGGTAAACAAAGCTGGCAGACATGGCTGAGCTTAAAATGGGACTGACTCGCTGCTCAGCCATACCCAAAGATGCTGGAGAACTGGTCTTTTATCTGACTTTCTAGTGGTGAGCCTAGGCTTGTTTCAAAAGTTTTGTGTTCTGGGACTTAACAGCCTTCTGGTTGTCAGAGAGCTTAAGCCCTTGATAATTCCTTCTGGCTTCCTTTTCCTGAACTACACATTGCTCCTGAACCAGGTCCTTTTGTCCCACGTCACCCCCGGCATGGTCACTCAGGTGGGCGCTGGTGGTCCCTTTGCTGGGTGACGCTGCTGCCTCCGACAAGCACATCCCAGCTCACATTCATGCCAGTAAAATCACACTCGGCCCCTTCACAGCCAAACGCTCCAGACATTTATAGGCGGTTATAACATTCCCACTTAATTATCAATTAGCCAAGCTAGCCTTACACACTTCATATATAAAACACCCCTTCCATCTCCCCACAGACACACTGCTTTTTAGTGGGCTGACTGGTTTTCCTTTCCTCCCCCATCACCCTCCTTGCTGCAGCCAGCATCAGCTCCCCTTTTAGCAGCACCGCGAGCACCACGCGCCCATCATCCTTCCCCGCACCCACTCCGCCGGCTCGCCCCTGGCACCCAGCCCGTCCCACCCTGGGTGCTGCTGCGCCGGCACCGGCTGCACGGCCCTTCCTGGGGTCCCTTCCCAGGAGCAGGACGGCGTCATGCCGCCGGCGAGCTGGGAGAGCGCAGGGCATGAACTGCCCCTGCAAAATTAATTGAGTGTAGCTCCTCTTTCAGCACAGCCAGTTATTGCTGGCGTCCTCCTCCAGACCATCTGGGGGACCGAGAAGTGAAAGGTGGGGAGAAGAAAAATAAAGAATGAGTCTAAACTTGGCTAGAAAAAACATCTCCAGTTACCAGACCCAGAAACGGGTCATGTTCTTACAAGGACTTTATGTTGTCTCACAGGGCGGCTTCGAAGAGACCAAGAGACCACCCAGTCTGTGTACAACATGCCCGCCCAATGCCCACTACCACGGTGCCACTTAAACCTCCCTAGCACACAGCACCCCAGGTAATGCTGTGCTGTGCCTTGTCACATTGCTGTGCGACCCACAACGAGTGGCAAAACTGTGCACACCCGAGTTTCTAACTGGGTGTCACTGCATCTGCCCTCACCAGTGCTGTATGGTAGAAAAGTGTCTCTGACCACGCCAGAGGATGGGGATGGAGGACGCTGCATCGCTCCTCCTTAAAGCTGATGAAGGAGGAGCTGCCCGCTCTGTAAGTAATATTCCTTAACTGAGAGCCTGGGTCGTTTTCACACCAATCTCTGCAATTATCACCACGTCCTCAAAAGGCAGCATTTATCCCAAACACTGCACACAAGCCATTGGGGAACGTAACCACACTAAAGACAAAACATTCAGCTTTCAGGACAGGCAGAAGGGCCGTGGGATACCGCTCGCTTACCCGACTCGGAGCTCTCGCAGTCCTGCGGGTTGCACTTCTGGGTGCTCTCGGGCCAGGGCTCGTGGTCGCAGAGGCTGCTGTCCTCCTCGGCCAGCCCCGTCTTGGTGTTGATGCACTTGACCTGGCGCCGCTGGATGCCCCCGCCGCAGGGAGCCGTGCACTGTGGGAGCGGGGCAGCCCCGTCAGCCCTGGGAAGTTGGGGGGACCCATCCCCACACCCTGCAGAACCACCGCCCCAACGCCGCGCTGTGCCGGCAGCATCAGACCCCGGGAGGTTTTTATTGCCGTAGCCCCCAGTTTGGTTTTGAGGATTGGGTTTCCCCCCCACCATTCCTTGCATTTTGTGCAAAAGCCCTGTATGAGGGGAGCGGCGCGCTCCCGCCTGTGCCTGCTCACCTCTCCCCAGGAGCCCACCACCCAGGTGGTGCAGGGGTGCACGTTGCAGGGACGGGTGGCATTGGGCTTTAATGTCTCCTCGCAGCGGCCCAGCTCCGGGCACGTCACCAGCCGCTCCTGCTCCCCACCGCCGCATGACTCCGAGCACTGCCGAGACACGAGCCATTGAAAGGGGAAGCCAGCGGCACAACAGAAAGACAGACAGGCTGCGTGCATTGGTGTCTTAAGGAAATATGCTGCAAACCCACCCTACAAATAGATAAGCACCCACAAAACCTGCCTTCCAGGTGGAACACCCCCTTTGCAGCTACCCCTGATGTTAGTGGGTGATCTCCTTTTTGTGCTTGAAACCGGCTGGGAGATTCCCAGAGGCAGGAGGATCCAGCAGACCCATTGCAAGTATCTGCTTAAATTTTGCAGGCATGTGAAAAGGCAGGCTGAGCTCGCTGCCTCCCTGCTGGCAACAATCAGGGGGCTCCAGCAAAGGCAGCTCAGTCCCCCTAGCCCTGCACTTGCCCAGCTACTGAGCATTTGCTCTGGGCAAGCAAATGCCGAGTGCTGGCCGAACGTGCTTCCAGGGAGAGAGAGGAAAAATAACTGCAGGTGTGAAACACCCTGTCACAGGCACACATGCTGTGTGTGCCCAGCCAGGGATGAAGGCCCGCTGGGACACTCGGGGGTCAAGCGCTGCCCCTCCTTCCCATCTCAGCCCCCTCCCCAACAGCCCCTACCTCTCTCCAGGAGGACGTGTACCAGTCCAGGCATGGCGTGCTCTGGCAGGGGAGCTGCGCCAGTGGTTTGTAGAGGACAGCCTGGCAGTGGAAGGGCCGTAGGAGCCTCTGGTCTCTGGTGTCAATGCAATGCACGTCCCGAACCTTCATTCCCCTGCCGCAGCTCTTGGAGCACTGGGAAAGGACAGGGGCATCACGCCAGGGAAGGACAACAAGGGCTGGTGCAGGGGGAATCCCTCTGGCATTGGGACCGTGACCCCAGAGACACGCTCTGGCTTGGGTTGGATTGAGTCGATACTCAACCTCTTTTCAGCTCTTTCTCTAGTCCAAGCTAGAGAAAAGTCTGTGCAGCTCTGAATCTGTCACTACTCTCCCTCTGAAAGCAATGGGTTTCCAGTTGTAATGGTAACAGTGTCTTTATGTATCAGACAACTGATGATCCCAAGAAACGGTGGCCACCCAGAGCAAGGAGGGTTGTTCCCCACCACTGAACCTACTGGATTCACCCAACCCAACTGCAAACACCCCCTGGTAGTGCAGACTGGCCAGAACATTTTCCAGAGACTTTCAAGCCACTCTTCGTTTAGCTTTTGCAAATTCCTGGCTTTTTAATGAGCCCAAGAGCAGGAAAAATGAAAAGATTATTGTGGGATGAAGTAGTTTAAACTCTGTGGCAAGTCCAAACCTTTACCCTCTGCCTTTGTGAGCCATCGGGCATGCACATGCCCCAAGAGCCAGTACTGCTCCAGCCACAGAGCAGGCACCACCTGCCTTCATTCTTCTGTAAATTTTTCAGGACCCTCCCTACCGGCTACATGCCTGTTTACCTTACTCCAGTTCCCCACACGCCATGACGAACACGGTCTCAGGGAACACCTCCGGGCAGGGACGGGTTTGTTCGCCACAGTGCAGCCGTCGTCACTGCCGGTGCTGCAGCGCACGGTCCTCCAGATCGCGCCCACGCCGCAGGTGGCCGAGCACTGCAACACAGGAGGCAGACGCCTGCTCCTCTGCCCTGCCGCCGGCCCCAGCGGGGCTGGCCCCTGATGCCCCTAATGCCCCTGATGCCCCATGGCTGGCTCTGGCCCAGGATGGAGCCTGGTAGCCCAGCAGAAAGGTCCCTAGGGACTCAGCTCATTGCCTCCTGCGTGGGCATCGGGAGGGGTGCCAGGAAAACTGGGGCGCACAGAGGCAGGGCTGTGGGATGATGTGGGGAGAGGAGCTTTCCCTGAGGCTGTGCCCTGCACTGGCAGAGGACCCAGGCCCACAGATCACTCCCCATGGTGAGAGGCTCCTCTCGAACCAGTCCCACATCAGGCAGCCCTCAGTTTGGGTGAAGGAAGAGCAAAACCCTCCTCCATAACCCATTTCAGTCATTTCTGGTCTGGCTAGGACTGTCCTTTCTCTCCCTGTTCAGCTTTTGGCTTCCAGAAGGATTCTCATGCCGCAACCCCGGACCCCAGCAGCAATAGCCATCGCCCTGCACCAGCCTCCCAGTCACGGCTGCCCACAGCTCAGTGGGAAACAGGGCAGCACTGGGGATCTCTGCAGCTGAGGTGCCTTTAGCTTTTTTGTTGCTAGGTCTCTCTTAATTATTACTAATGGCTTCAACCATTCAACAAGCTTCTCATAAAGCTCTGTTCCATGCCCTTCTTTCACAAGCACTGTCTGTCCCTTACTCTTTCGGTGTAAAAAGCCCCAGTAGAGATTTCTCTCCACCTGAAAGGCAGTGCCTCCACCTCCTCTTTTGGATTCACCCCTCAGTGTCCAGACTGATCTGATTTATTTTGTAGCAGTCTTTGCCTCTTATAAAAGCCTTTGCAGGGCTTTCAAAACACACCCGTGTGCCTCCACGTCACAGCACTGCCACCAGTCCCATCCCTGCCGCAGAGCTTCCTCCAACACCCTGGCTCAAGTGATGTTCAAAGCCCTTTTATAAAACCCACATGTGGGACTGTATTTTTGCTGATACCAAATATTTTCCTGACCCTTACTGGGTCCTTTGTGCAGCCTTCTTAAAAGAGTCCCCCATCGCGGAGTCTCTGGTTGCCCCACCACACCAAAGGCTTGTTATTTTTGTGCTTTCTGATAAAAGCCCATTACCGTAAATTGCTGCAGCAGTTTGTCTGTCAGTGCAAACGCTATGCAGAGAGCAGCCCCGGGACAGCTAGGCAGTACAACGATAGCTGATAATCCCCCATTCACTGCATTCAGCACAGCCCCTTCCCTTTGGTAACTTGCAGCCTTGATGCGCCTTACACTTGACATTTAAATTTCTGTCTTTTTGTGGCATATTTTAAGATACTCTCTCCCATACGATGGCAGGAGAGCTTGCTCCTGTGCCAGGGTCTGGATTCCCTGGGTGCCCAGTGCCGGCGTGGGGGCTCTGTGCTTGCCTGTTCCTCCAGAGCAGGCAGGGCTTCAGGTGGGGAGTGCATTTCTCTGCCCACCATCTACTGCCACTACTGCCTGAGCACCCCCTGCCCCGGGACCCTCCCTGCAGAGCTGGGGAACGCCGTGCACGGGAGAACCAGCCCTCCTGGAGCAGGGAGGTGTGCCAGGGCTGCAAGCAGGGTGATTGCAAATGTGCCGGGCTGGGCTGAACCGAGCATTGCAGAGCGCAAGGAGCCACTGCCGTGGCCAGTGCCCAAGGCAGCGGGACAGGACGGAGCGGCAGTTGGAGCGTGTGTGCCCCACGCATGATTTTTTTGCATGCAAAGAGCAATGCCCTGGAGACCAGCCAGGAAAGGGACAGCTCTCTCACCTCCGTACTGGCCATGTCACACTTTTAATGGGACTCAACACGTACCTCACTCCAGTTCCCAACCTCCCAGCTGGGCATCACAGTGGCTGCCACGGTGGTCAATGGTGGAAGCAAAGCCTCCTCCTTCTCCATCTTTTTCTTCTCCCAGAGTGGTAGGGGTGCTGGGGTGGGATGGGATAACTCGTGTTCCCCATCACTGAAAGCAAACGTCCCTGAGGTTGTCCTCGGCAAGCGCTCCCCTGGGACGGTGCTGCTGAGCGGGGCCCCACGGGAGGTCTGCTCTGCACGGGGTGATGCTGGCTCTGGGTGGTGGGACACCCCCATGGTCCACCACGCTGGGGGGGACTCAGAGGGCGATGCTCCCGCTGGGTGCATGGGAGGGCTGTGAGCTGGGGCCGTGGGCATGGCTGGTGCCAGGGCATCTTGCTGGGTGAGGCCACTGGAGGTAAGCTGGGTGGCTGGCCCGGGCACGGCAGGGGACAAGGATACTGCTGCTGGAAAGGCTGTAGCGGCCACCAAGGGCGCCGAGGTCAGGAACGTGGGTGTGCGGAGCTCTGGCTGGTGCCCTGCCTGCCCCACGGGACCCCCATCAGCACCCACAGGATAGGGACTTGCAGCAGAACGGGTGCCACCAGCACTCCTTCCCATCTCCTGCCCTGGTCCCTGAGGGGTGGGGAAGGAAGGACCTGCCCTCTCTGTGCCTTGGGCTTGCTCGTTGGCCACTGACGCTGCATGTGTGCCCGCCGTCCCCTCCGGCATTTCTGCCCACCCTTCTGGCTCCTTGGTCTTGGGGGCAGCACCATTAGCATCACTGGTGATGACAAGACCCATTTCCCCTGAGTCTTCATGACCTCTCCCCGCAGATCCGGCCACACTGTGCTCCCCGCTGCTGGTGTTACCTGGCCCCTCTGTGCTTGCATGCCCCTTGCCGCTGCTCCCCGGCTCTCCCAGACTGTTGGACGTGTCTGCATCAGCACTGCCCCTGCCAGTGGGCAGTAGCGGGGAGGGATCATCTGGGTAAGGAGCCCAGGGAGCAAGGCCACGGGCTGGAGCATCCTGCCCAGGACTGGTCCTCGCTGGCACGGTTCCCTGGGGTTCATCTAGGGGTGGGTGGTCATGGCTGTTGGCAGAGTTGTGACTTGTGGTACTCTGGGTGGGCGGGTGATCCTTGGAGCGGGACACAAACCTTGCATCTTCCTCCTCACCCATGAAGTCAAGGATGGCAAATTTGGGAGTGGCTGTCCCTGCATCCTCAGGGATCACGCTCAGGAGGTCATTCATGGTTAAACCCCCAGGCTCCATCTCTCCTTCGCTGTGCACGGCAGCAGAAGTGTTTGCTTCGCTGGTTACCAGACGGTCCTTGCTTGCTCCTCCTCCTGGCTTGACAGTGTGCAGGACATCAGCAGGCATCTCATGGGAGCCCTCCACGACATTGGTGCTCAGCTCTGGCTTACGCTCCTCAGCTTTGGTCTCTTTCTCCGTGAAGGGATAGTAAGACAGATCCTCATGGAAGTTGATAAAATTATAATCATAGTAAAAATCATCAACAAAGACATTTCCCTTTCTGGCTGAGAAGTCCTCCTCAGTGATGATATTGACATCATTAGACTCCGGAATATTTGGAATTAAGGGGTTAAATTTAGCAATGTGGTTGCTGGGGATGTAATGGATTTCATTAAATATCTCTCTGCTGGAGGACCCACTGCCAGACCAATCTGTGTTGGCATTGTCTAATTTCTTCTGGCACTGCGGCAAGGAGCAAATAGTTTCCGAGCTGGGTCTTTCTGCAGGGTCACAAGCGGCTCCAGTGCTGTTGCTGCAGTAAACAGGACGCCTCTGTGTCCCATTTCCACACGTTGCGGAGCACTGGAAAAGGAAGAGAGATGCAAACATCAGGAACAGGAGCATGGGCGATGCAGGGTGCAGCAGAAGGAGCCAGGAAGGGGCCGGCAGCGGTGCCGCAGCAGAACCCACCATGCCCCTTGCTGGTGCTCCCCTCCGAGATACTGAAGTGGGTGCTCAACCGTCCCCTGTGCCGCGATGCTTTGGGCACAGGGAGAAGGGGCTCCATGTTGCTCTGCCACGCTCCCACCACCCACCTGGGTCCCAGGATGTCTCCTGTGCCAGTCCCACCTGTGGCATGGGGTCCCCTGTACCAGGAGTCAGGAGCAGGGGGGACTGGTCACACCACTAAGCAGCGGTATTATCGGTCAAATCTACCTCCAGGGCTGTCTCCCCGTTAGAGACCGTCCCAGTGCAGGGTTGGTATTGCAGGGTTCTTTGCTCGGGGTGATCCTTGACCTGCACTCCAGCCAGAAACAATTTTCCTGGGAGATGGACATTGGGAAGGGCATTGGGTAAGATGATCTAATAGCTCTTTTCTATGACCTATTGCCATGAATTGCATCTCTTCTTCTAGAAGAGAATTTTTTGAAACAGGGGATAACAACATGGGTGTTGTCCTAGTACAGAAAAAGCAAGGGTCAATAAGGAGCTTTGTTGAGGACACCCCCTCCTCCACCATAATGGTCTCTTTGAGATTTTTCAGCACAAAAGAAACCCACAAGCTGGAGAGAAGGACAGCAAAATTTTCTGCTGGATAAGTAAATCATAGTGCTACTAATATCACATGTGGGCTGCACAAGCCACAGGCTGCTGCAGTTTGTGGTGACAGACACACAGAGCATTAGTCACGTACATCAAAGCGCCTTACATGACCCAGCCAACAAGAACAAATGGTCAACAAGGCAAACAAATCCAACAGAGGGGATTTCTGCTGAAATCCCTGCTATTTGGATGAAAACAGACAGGCTAAGGTGAGGGTTTGATGCCCAGCCGCCAGCACTTTGAAATTCAGAGGTTAAGGTGGACAGGCAGGGCTGCTGGGCTGGGCTGGCCAGGAGATATGCTCCTCAGACAATATATACTCCCATACTTCGAGCCTTTCTTGTCTTTGCTCAGTCCTCGCGAGGGCCGGGTGCCTGGTTGGGACCTGCCCCGCTCCCCACGCCGGTCCTGGTGGGCTCCTGGGTGGCTGTCCACCCTGCAGGACGTCTCCTCCCAGGCAGGGGCTGTCTGGAGGACATGCTGACCCAGCAGGCTGAGGACTGTGCCCGGCAGAAGGGACAGTCCATAACACTGCGTGGCCACCACCAGGCATTGCCACCAGCTATGCAGTGTTGCTGAAATAAAACATTACCGCACATTAACATCTGTGGGAGGGTGCAAGCAATCTGCTTCTCCCTGCTGGGATGGCCCTGCCAAATCAGGCAGAGGTTAGCTCTTGCAGCATGTGCCTTAAGCTAAAATTTCTCAGCAAATGCCTCCAGCTCCATCCAGGAGACAAATTCCAGGTATTGCAGCTCTTGAGGGGGAAGGAGGGGGTTTATTTGCCAAGGCTCAGTTATCAGGAAAGCTTCTGGGACCCAGATAAGAAATGATGGCTGTTAGGAGCCTCATGGAGGAACACCCAGAGCTTGCATGAAGGTTTAGCATCAAGCACACGGCTGCAGGAGGCATCACAGCAGGCTGCACAGTGGGATGTGCTCCAGCCAGCAACAGATAGATGCTCCTGTATGCAAACCCTTGTGTATTAGTAGACAACAAATAATGCTTCTGAGTGGACTTCTTTGGAAAGTCCATAGAACTGGATATACATTGCTTTAGGGTTCTTCTGGAGGCACTAAGTCCCAGTGTTTAAGCATTTGGTTGGGCTACCCAAACTGCAAATAACCCCTTTGGCTTCGTGAGCTGCCCCAGTGCTGCCAGGGCCAGACAGACGTACGTGCTGCCCTGCCCCAGGGTCTGCAAATACAAAAAAAGCAACAACTGCCTATTATTATTGCTGGACAGAAGGACCACGTTTCTGGGAAGCTTCCAAGCCCCTCAAATTTCGCTACTTACTGGTGGTGGTGGAAATGGAGAAGGAGGGTTCTAGCTTTAAGTGAAAGAAGGACAGAAAAATTACGGACATCTCAAAATCTTGAGCACATTTTTGCTGGGCTCACAGGTCCGTTGATGTCAACACCACAGATGACTGTGACGGCTTGGGCTGGCTTCATGCACAGACCCACGGGCAATTCATGATTTTCCCTTTAAACTGCTGCAGCCGTCTCTCTCAGCCCTGCAATTGTGGCTTTTGTGGGCCCCTAGAAAAATATTTCTAAATAGCTCTCATTTAGCCTTCAAATTTTCTGTTCGCATTTTTATTCTGTTTGTTTCTTAGCAACAAGCTCAGTTCCCAGGCTCTCTCATTTCTCTCCTGATATTTGTCTTAATGCTGAACACTTTTTGAAACCACTGCTTAAATTACGAGTTACAATTTTCTGGTTAAACCCCTCAACTTGTGGTTAAGTTGATCCATAGAAATACAAAAATAAATAAAGCCTACACAGGGTGTCCACAGACCATGGCATTTTACACGTGGGGTTTTTTGGTCTCTCCCTCTCTTTTTAAAAAAATTGTTGAAAAATTTGTGACACTCCCAGGGAACATTACTGAGGGGGTCTCTGTCTCGGCCCACCCCAGCAACAGAGACGAGACAGCTTCGCCCCAGTGCCAGGTCACGCTGCTGGGCAGCAGATGCCCGCTGGCTGGCACACATGTGCCTGGTGCACCCAAACCCTGGCTTGCCCCTAACACTTTGCTTCAGCAAGCAAAAATTATCTTTAAGGCTTCTGCCAAAACAAAGGGGAAGGCTTGTGGTGCTGGAAAATATGCTGAAGGGTTGAAAGCCTCTTGTTTCTGCCCTCCTTGCAATCAAGCAGTGCATCCCCTTCAGAGAGGATGGGGCAGAGTCAAACTGCCCGGTGCTCCTTCCTCACTCTGAGACCTCCCCATGCAATGAAATTCCCGTCCCTGTGAGCTGGTGTTACAACGTCAGCCACGGAAACACATCCATGAATTTCCCCTGTAAACAGGAGCAGAGCCATCACTCTCGGGCAGGCTGAGGATGTCTGGGGGGCACTTTGTCCCCAGCTCCCCCCAGCACTGTGAGACACCGGGACCTCCCTGACGCTATTTCTCACCTCGGACCAGTTCCCCATGGCCCACTGGGAGGGACAGGGGACCTCCCGGTGACAGGGTGCGGTGGCATCTGGCTTGGAGAGGTGCTGGCATTCTGCTTGCTGCAATGCCCTCTGCTCGTCCAGCCCCACGCTCTGGATGCAGAGCACCGTCCTCTTCATCAGCCCCGACTGGCCGCAGGTGGCCGAGCATTTCTGCCATTCACCGACCCACCACCTGGGGAAATGTGAACAGAGAAACGTCTCAGCTGGAGCAAGCGGCCATGAGCCAGGCTCTGGCCCGTGCCCCACCACGCCGAGCACTGCAGAGCGAGCACCGAGAGGTGTTTGGGGCTAGGAGACGTCCACAAGATGCATGTGGACTTCAGCAGCCTGTAATGATGAGCGGGGCCCAGGGGAATTAGGATCCTTACTGCGGCTTATGTTTCAGCCCAAGATCCGGGTGCCCAGACTGAGGGTCAGGGATGGATTAGTCCCCGTGTGGTGTCGGGGATGGTTATTTGCACAGAGGCAGAGAGGGGCTCTCAGCCCTGCCAGGATGCTGCCTTCCCGTATGGCTCGTGTTCTGCGGAGAAGCAACACACTGCAGCCATGAGACAACCACACGGATTTGCTCCCATGGACCAACACAGGGTCTGGGACCCATTCTCAAACATGAGGGAGAGGAGAGGTGCAGAACCATAGGTGCAAATAGCTGCTTAGGGCAGTTTGGAGATTAAAGCTTTGCTGAGAAGGGGTGAGGAGGAATCAAGCGGACCTGGCTGGGCAGGGCTCCTCGCTGCACGTCCTTTGCTGGTCATCGGGGCGCGTCAGCGCGTCGCAGTACCGCTCCTCCACGATGCCAGCCAGCTTCTCCACGCAGTGAACAATCTGCCGCTGCACCCCTGTGGACACAGGCAAAGGCTTGGCTCGAGACAAAAATCAAACCAAACCAGCGAGCATCCTCTGCCGCAGGTGAGAGGAGGCCCTAAGGTAAGCCTGAGCCACCAAAATCAGGGGAAAGAAAATTAAACCGCCACTGAAATTGAAACTGGAAGTCGAGAGCCCACTCCTGCTGAGGCACTGATGCCCTCACAGAGCCCAATGCCACCAGTGCTCCCAGTGTACCCACGTGGGAAACGCAGAGCTGGACACCTGGTCTTAATCTGACATGTGTGTGATGAGACCTACAGAGCTTAACTGGGCTGAAAAATGACCCTGGATACGCAGCTATAAAGCAGGAACACCTGGGACAGGATGGGTGGATGGATGGATGAATGGATGTAAGCAACACTGGTCCAGCCAGGATACGGGGTTCTGAGCATTACAAGCAGCAGACCACAGCCAAAGCCCTCCATGGGGCTGGCGGGAGAGGGTTTCTGTCTGTCCAGCACAAGGCAAACCTCAGCTCCTGTCCTGAGACCCAGTCCAGGGCTGCTCACATAGAAAGCTAAAAACAGACCACAGAAAGAGTTGGCAAATCTTGTTCTCCCTTAGAAAAAAGCTGCTGCATCCTGCTCTTTCAGGACTTAGGGTTGTCAGGAAATACCTAAGGAATGGCAAGAGTTTCCACAGAAGGGAAGGTGAGGACAACCATGTTCAGAACTGTCAGCAGACCCCAAACATGAAGAGACGGCTTGCTTCAACCTCGCAAACTTCACAGGACATCTCTGCTCGCCCTCTCAGTGCTTGGTCTCTGTACCAAGCGGTTCAGAGGGACAAGATGGGTCAAAAGCAGGAACATTGCCACCCTTCTGCTGGCTCCCACTCTCAGATTTCTGCAATGACCTCGTCTTGGTCCTGGTAGCCTCTGGCTGGATCCTTTGGTCACAGGCATCACAAGGGGCATTGCTGGGTGAGCTGCTGAGCAGAAATCTCTAGAGTAAAACCTTTACTACCCTACAGCTTTTATGGTCAGCAGTAAGATGAAAGAGATGCAGAAAAATGCCCTTCCACAAGCTGCCTAATGGGCTTTAACAGCAATGCAGCTGGCAGAGGCTCTGCAGAAAACACCCTGCTGCTGGACGGACCCCTCGGCCAGAGGGAAAAGCCTTTCCCCATCTCTCCCCTTGTGAAAAGCCTCCGCAGCCATGTGTTTGGGGCTGCCAAAGCCACACAGAGGAGTACATGTGGGGCAGGATGGCAAGCAGTGGAGATGCTGCAGCCCACGGGGGGAACACTGTCCTGGCACCACTGTCCAGAGCCACATCCAGCCATCAGAGCGCCTGTGTGCACGTGAGTGTGCATGCACACACACACACAATGAGGCTTTCGGGGGGGCTGTGTCCAAAGGGGAGACAACTGGCAGCAGCACAGGTCTTTTTTGGCAGGCTCCTGCCCCAGCCGCAGCTCATGGATAAATCACCCGCCGAAGCCTCCTGCCCCTGGTCTGCCGTGCTCACAGGATGACATTTTTCAGGATGACCTCACCCTCAACATGCTGCCACACTGCCTACTTTTGTCCTCCTTTTTGCAACATGTATTTGACCTGTGACTTGGGAGAGATCTAAATATTAACAACTGCCATCAGCCGAGATTGATATGACTCTGCTGAAGCTGCTGAGTTGGGCTTTGGCTCAAGCACTCGGGAGCTTATGGGGCCAGTGGGGCTGGGGCTGGCCCCCACAGAAAAGGCTCAGCCTGAGTTCTCCCAAATCTATGTCCCAGCTCACACTGTTATCCAGCCCAGGGAGAGGGGCTCAGCCCTCCTCCAGCTGCTCACCTGTGGCCAGACAGGGTGAGCATCCTCACCCAACTCCTGCCCAATTTGCTCCTGTATTTATTTCCCTTCTGGTCTGGAAGCCAAGCACTCAAACCTTACAAAGGAAAACTGGTTTTAAACAAAAGTAAGTGCTTTCAGCTCCTGCCCTCCCCAACTCCCCATGCTCCAGGGCCCATGCAAATCCACAGTGAATTACTCTCAGTGTAAATGTACATGAAACACCCCGCCAGCTCCTGCCACACCACAATGCTCCCGCTCCAGGCAGGAATCCATACCTGTCTCCCAGGAACAGGCAGGAAACATCTCCTGGCACTCTATGCTATCTAGAAAGTATAAGTGTCCTTGAATTCCCTTTTTTTTGGTGGCAGCTGCGCTCGAGGAAGCACTCGCTGGTCCCAGACCATCCCCCTCCATCAGCCACCCCAAAAAAGCTGCCCCAGGATGCCTGGCCAGCGGTGCAGTGGGGCGGGAAGGGGGGGAAGCAAGTGTCTGACACCACGGGGCTGTGCAGGACCTCAGTGCTCTGCCCGTGCCAGGCACCCTCCCCTGTGCTCTCTGTAAAATCCTGGAGATCATACCCCCTGGAGAGGCCCAGCCAGGCAGGAGACCGGCCATTCCACACTCCCTGGATTTCTCTAAAGCTCTTTTGTCTCCATCACCCTGATGCCGAGGAACACCCAGCGTGGTAACAGGACACCGAGCAAAGAGCAAAGCGCTGATAAAGCATGGGGTCTGGCGGGTGAGCGTGGCAGGGGCACCCAAGAGTGGTGACCTCAACAGATGCTGCTTCCCCCCACCCCCTCCCCGAGACCTCCTGAAACAAAAGACCCAGGAATTTCTAAGGCACACCCACAGTACAGGGATGCTCTGCCTGCTCCGTTCCTCCGCCGCGGGTGGCGGAGCCCCGGGGTCCCGCAGGAGCTGGACTCACCGGTCCCGCACGTGGCGGTGCATGTGGTCCAGGAGCCGAAGCGCCAGAGGAACTCTGCCTGCTCAATCTCGTTCTCACTGTCGGCCGGGCGCTGGATGGTGTACTGGTACCGCACGCCGGGGTTGGTCTCCTGAAACAGCAGCTGTGGGGAGACAACGGACGGTCAGGGACGTGGCTAGTGCGGAGCAGTCAGGGCTTGCCATTGCACCCCCGGGGCTTTTCAGGAGATAACAACCTGCCCAGCATGGCCATAAGGATGTGATTCTCTGTCCTGCTTCGTACCAGGGCTGCATTACCTGTACCCCAGCAGCAGCTCATGACCATTTTGACAAGGAGGTTAGCAAATGGCTGAAGCAGTGTAGGAGCAGAGGAGCTGCTGTTAATTCCCCTGCTAATCCTGTCCAGTTCCACTGCCAAATGCAACCCCATCCAAGGACTTCTCAAGGTTCAGCACAGTGAAGGGTCCAAGATGGTCAGACCTCCCCAGGAGGTTTTGCATGGGCTACCGCTGGCCCCAGCCCAGCCATGGGTCTGCAGCATGTGGGGCAGGAATGACCCTCCCCACAAGGACAGACCCACTGCTTGCTCCCGCCAGTTGGGAGCGTGGTGAGCAACATCTGCCTCTCTCCATCACTCTTCCTGAACTCTCAGTGAGGGATGTTATGGCTGGAGGGAGGCTCTGACTGCTCCCAGCCCTGTCTGCCGGACTGATGGTGGGTGGCCTGGGCAGATGGACACTCAGGTGAACATCAGTCACAGTGCCCTGTCCTTTGGGATGGTGGCAGAAGGAAGGGAAGGGGACAGCAGCAAGAGTCCAGCCCTGCAAAGGAGGAATCAAATCCCCTTGCCTCTGCATGTCCTAGAGAGCTGCAACTGCTCTAGCAATCGCCCTGGGGAAGTACCGTAGCACATCTCAGCTCGAGATGCTGGCTACCCGTGTCAGTCCCCGTTTGCACCTCCAACCTGCCATCGGCGTGCCCTGGTTGGCACCAGGCGAGTGGCTCAACCGTGTTAGAGGGAGCTGCCGGCAGCAAATGCCAGCAACGGCTGATGGTGACATGGGCCTGAAGGAATTTCCTTAATTGCTCCCCACTTGAGACGGGTTCCCGCTGCTCTCAACATCCACGAAGTGGCTCCTGTGGTTGACACAAATCCTGCCCAAAGCACCTCCCGCACCAGCGCTTGGCAAAGGCTGGGAGTTTAACCTTGTTTTTCTTAGCCTAAGTGCTCCCATTATTGCCAAAGCTTTGTTGTTCTTGGAGCTTTGGCAGGAGCAAGGGCATCTTTCCAAAACCTCTTCATGAATATTGAAACATTTTTGTCAAAAGGTTTTAATTAGGTTACAAATCCCAGAAAATTATTTGCGGGTGCCAAGCACACCAGCGTTCCCATTAACAACAGCACTTGGTGGCAGATGAGCCCAGGATCTCGCTCACATTTCATCCTGAGCCTCTGCTGAAAGAAATGCAAAAGGCAAAGACAGGCTGCTCGACGGAAATTCCCACATGCAAAAAAGAGTAAAACTTGAAATTTCTAGTTGTTTCAGAGGATTTCAAACGATCCTTTTAGATTTTTACCTTTTGCTTCAAGGGCTTTTGTGAGGAAGTGGAGCCTGACCTGCAGTGCCCTGGGCAGCACCACCCGGGTTTGGACCATGGAGCAGGACCCCTCGGGCCGAGCTCCTCACCACGGCGTCAGGCAGCGCAGAGGGGACTACGGCACTGGCGGGAGCGCAGCACTGCCAAGGGAGTGCTGGTGGGCCACCCTTTGCCACCACGACGGTTCCCAGCTCCCACTGCATTTGCCGGCTGCTCCAGCCCTGCCAGAAGCACCACGGGCTCTTCCCCTGCTCTTGATAAGATATGGGAAAGGCCTCAGGAAACAGGCTCTTTCTCCTCATGCTCTCTCCGCTGTGTAAATATTTTGAGGAATGCTGCAAAAGGGACAAAGCTCAGCTGGAAGCAGCGTGGGCTAGAAACGCGGTCCTTCGGCCAGCAGTGCATGCTTGGCTGCTCCTGATGTTGGCTCCCAGAGAAACGTGGCCCCCATCCCCCAGATGGACCAGCAGCTCAGCCCTCACGGCAAGGCAGGAAAGCCAAGGACTCTGTCCCCTCCATCCTCCCCGCCACACACTCCAGCCACCAGCAGATCCCAAACCATACCTGGATCCACACGGGCTCCACAGTGGGCCCCGGTGAGGTGAGGTTCTCCCAGTTCCCTGTCCTCTTGTAGGTGAAGGTGGTCCCCGCCACCCTGTAGTCCCCGTTCCACTGGATGGTCCAGCCGCCGTTCAGGAAATACTTCTCCGGGTCCTCGCTCCGCAGCGCCAAAAAATTCCCAGCTTCTGCAACTTCTTCAATCCGGATCTCCCGTGCTCCCACGGGGATAATCCCAATATCAACGTAACCTGGGAACGGAACAGAGCATTGGTCTTGCGGGGGGGGGGGGGTGTGTCACAGATGTGGCAGAGATGATCTGCGCCCTCAGGCGGGTGCCAGCACCCCTTGGGTGGGTGCTGGTGTCCCTGGGGTGCCAGCATCCTGCCAGCCCTCACACCTCTGCAAGGCACCAGCAGGCACCAAACCCCACCTTGCACTGAGCCCAGCTGCATTGCCTGCTGGGAAAGCCCATCGCAGACCGAGACATTTCCCGCATGGGTGCTGGCAAAGCGTTTACCACACTTTCAATGTGTCCTTGTCAACACACAAAATCCCCTTAAACCTTTCCAAACCGGCTCCAGCTTGCGCAGATTTGTTTTCAGGCCTTTAGACGCAAAGAGCAGCAAGGGAATATTTTTCTTCAAGGAGCAAGAAGTGGAATGGCAACACCATGTCTCCCCACGCTGCCGCTCAGGTCTTATCCCATCCAAATTGACAAGTCGTGATTAAAAACCACACTCCAAATGAGCAGCACCAGTGAGCCCGGCTCCGAGTGGAACAGGCACCTGGTGTTTTGGGGAGGGAGCCGAGCGCCCTTACCCAGCCCCTCGCTGTCCTCGAAGGTCTTCTTGACGGTGTGGCAGGTGGAGCCGTCTCCGTGGCAGACGCCGCACCGGTCCTCTACCGCGTTGGAGTCGATCTCGTAGTCGCAGCCCACGTTCTGCAAGGCAGCCCCGTCAGCCGCCCGCGCCCCCGCACGCCCCCAGCCTTGCACCGTGCCGTCGGCCGCTGACACGGGAGGAACGAGGGAGAGGAGGACCAGCCTTGGTCCTAAATGGTGGGAAATAAGGAACATGGATGGGAGAGAGGGACGAGCTGGAGTCCTTTTGCAGGATGGGTGGTGATACAGCCACATCGGCTGCAATACGGGTTTCTCTAACATATCCTCGCCATCTTGCTGTCCTGTTCAGACGCAGCGAGGATTACGACCCACATCTCATTTTTACCTTTTCCTACCCGCGTCCCTGGGCAGCAGAGCCTGTAAGCACACGTTACATGTCAGGCTGAGCTGGGAAAACCCCCTGGTCCTTGGCCCTGCTAGTCCTGTTTCAAAACACTTCCCCAAAACCTTTTTTATATTCTGCTGAAACTCTCTCTAGACCTCATGCCAAATCACTCAATGGGTGCAGAGCAAGAGCTTCCCTGTGATTTTGTACCATAAAAGCTTCAGCCAAGACCCCAAAGGGTCCCGCTGGGTCCCGTGCCAGCGAGGAGCCTTCAGCCTTTGCTGCCCGAGGAGGTGCCCAGGCACCACTGGCACACACCTACAGCAGAAGCACCCACTGTTTTAACTACTGCGATAGTCTGTAGTGAGCCAGGTTTAACTCCAGTGTCGCAGCCAGCAGCAGGCTCAGCGGCGACGAAGGTTTTGTGTGCAGTGAGCTCTGGCTAAACGTGCTGTCGTCTGCCGCGAGCTGCTGGATCGCACCCTGTTGTATGTGCCAAGTAAAAATCATGAAGCCTGCACCCTCCCTCCAGCCCATGCCTGTGTATCAGCACGCTGCAGCCTTTGAAGTAATTTACAGCCTATTACAGGAACAAACGGGACCTTCTCAAAGCCTCCAGTTGCCGTCCGGCCCCTGCCTGCTGCTGCTGGCAGCACGGCCAGTGAGAGGGAGAAGTTTCCATGAATGGTTTTTATATAAGAGGCTGCAAGGAAACTCATTGACTGATTATTTTCCCTCTTTCCTGCTGCTCTTTGTGCTGTCCAAAAAGCCTTTTTTCCAAAAAGCCTATTTTTCTGAAAAGCCTTTCAGAGAGCTTCTTTATCCAACACTACGGCAGACCCAACCGTGTCCTGCCTGCTCGCGTGTGTCCCCGGTGACAGGTGGCCGTCAGCTTTCCGGCAGCGTGGCTTTGGTACATCCCATGGTGGGAATCTGCACCACAGACCATGGTACCACAGCAGCTCAGATCGCCACCCATTCCCTAATTTAACAGAAATCCAATGTCCTCCAGGTGTGCTTATTCTATCCAAAACCTCAGGACCGCTTCCCTAGGGAAAAGGAAGGTGTGAATGAAGGGACCGTCTTGCTGCCACCAAACGCAGCTGCAGGACCCAGGGCACAGCTCTGCAAAGTGTCCTCGGCCATGCCAGCACCTCCCACAGCGCCAGCTGTGCCATCTCCACCAGATTCCTGTGTCTCCCACACTGAGAGATGCCCTCCCTGGCCGGCAGCCAGAGCCATGCCACCGCATGTTGCAGCACATTTGTAAGGAGCTTCCAAGAAAGAAAAATAACATCCCAGAAGGAAGGACAAATGCCAGTGCTGGGAGAGGCTGCCAAGCCAGGGGAAGCATCTCCATCACTGCAGGTCAGACCTGTGGCCACCACCACCAGCCACACTTGGGGTGCAGGGCTGGTCTGGGCATCCTCTCTACACACCCTTTCATATCCCTGACCTTAGTTTCAAGGGAAACTTTTCTTGCTTCATTTCCTTGGGTTTGTGCTCTATTTCCTTGAGGCCCACACAGAGGCTGAAATATGTCCGTACCACACACCTCATGGAAATAAGGAAAGCTTTCTGAGTGGTGAATGACAAAAGGAGTAAGCTCAGCCCGTCAGCGCGTGCGAGAGAGGGGATGATGTTCACCTACGGGATGGGTCACAGCACCCGCCTGCATTTCCCCAGGCACGGGGGTCCTTGGGCTCCCTCCCCAGAGGGCCCTGGCATGGGACCCACCTTGCAGATGCCGTTGATGCACATGTCGCGGCTGGCGTTCATCTCGTAGCATGGTGTCCCATCAATGACGGCGTCCCGCAGTTTTTCTGCAAAGTATTCATCCTCTGGCCGGCAGTGCAGCTCGCAGGGGTTAACTGGGGAACCCAATAGGCAGAAACTAAACCCAAGTAACCATTTCTGAAAACATGTATTAACCCTGCAAGCCCAGCCATAATTTAAAATACAGCATAAACGTGCTGCAAGGCAAATCTTACAGACACGAACAGCAAAACCAAGCCATTAGCAAGACTGTGTTTCAGGTTTCTCATTGGGGCTGCAGGCAGAAACCCGGCAGCGGGCTTTGCCTTCGACTCACTGTTGTTGGGCACCGGCGTCCACCTGTAGAGTTTCCCTTTGTAGAGCATGGGGTTGAACTGGCTGCACTGGACCTGACGGAAGGAGGGCTTGTCGGGGGGACATGGCCTGACGTTGCAAATCCGGAACCGCTTCCGCTCCCCCAGGCAATACCTGCCCCCATACTTTGGCCTGTCCGTGGGAGGGAAAAGGGAAAAATCATAGAATCACAGAAGGGTTTGGGCTGGAAGGGACCTTAATGGTCATCTAGTTCGACTCCCCTGCCATGGGCAGGGACACCTTCCACCAGACCAGGTTGCTCAAAGCCCCATCCAACCTGGCCTTGAACACTTCCAGGGATGGGGCATCCACATCCTCTCTGGGGAACCTGTTCCAGTGCCTCACCACCCTCACAGTGAAGAACTTCTTCTTTACATCTCATCTAAATCTACCCTCTTTTAGTTTAAAGCCATCACCCCTGTCCTATCAAATAAGGACCTACCACACAAAAGGGGAAATTCCCTTTTTATTTGCAGCTAAGGGAGGGTGGGTTTGTACCTGCTGCTAAGGTTGATCTCATGAGGTTGGGTCAAGCCTGAATCCACGTGGAGTCAACGGGGAGCTCTCCCAGTTATAACTCACACGTAGCACTGCTGCAACATTCGTGTAAGGAAGCTGGCTACGAACCGAACATCCACCCCACTCCACAGAGCAAGCTTTTGAAATGCGTGGAGACCACAGCCCACATCCTTCTCCAAGTCCCTCCTGGAGCAGTTCCCTGCTGCTGCTGCGGCTGCTGGGCTGTGCTACAGGACCGCGCAGGGTGAGACTGTGGAGCAAAGGCAGCTTTTGCTGAGTGACGGCTCTCAAGCCAGATTAGCTACATCTTGGGTCTTGTCCCTCGACAGTCCCTCCTTAATGTTGGAAATATGACCAGTTTTATAGTCTAGTGCATGATGCTATAAAAGCAGTTATTAAAGTCAGGTGTCACTGGCAGTGTACACATCTGAAGCCCCCGCACCTCTTGCAGCTGCAGCCAGGCACCCTTCCCTTGGGGTAAAACATCTCCTTCACCATCCCGGGTACTGTGGCTGACGAGATGCCAATGCTCCCAGGAGCCATGTTAGCCAGGTGCCCATTCTGCAGCTGCTCCAGAGGAGCTGCTCTCCATCCCGCCCAGGACACGCTTCTGACTCTGCTCCTCTACTGCCCAAGGGAAGAGCAAAGCTGCTGCTGGACTTTTTAAAGTAAGAGGGACTTTAAAAGCAACGATAGGCTTTTCTCAGGTGCCAACAGACCCTCAAAATACTGCCACTGTCTCTTGATGCTTGCCTTTTCCTTTGGTCACAGCACTCTCCATGGCCCACATCCCCATGACCTCATGAAAATTACTTTTTCCCTGATCAGTTAAGTCCGGGCACGCTTTGCTGAAGAGAATAAAGTTAATTATTATTTTAGAGTTGTGTTTACACACCCTGCCCCAAGGAAATGCCTGCGGGAGGAGGACTGCCCAGTGCTCACATTTATTCACTCCATCCAAAAGGCAAAGCTGAAGATTTACCTACGGTGGCCAAAGCAAACAACTGCCCGGGGAAATTCTGCTGCTTTTCCAGTGTTTGCTCTCCTGCCCGCCCACAGCTGTGTTTAAAACACTCCATAAACTACAATTGCACTTCTGCCACAAAACTCATGTCAAACAGAAACCCAGCTCTTGACCTGGAACCGAGATTACGCGGCGCTTCTTTAAACAGCTCAACAGCATGTGCTAAAAACAACACGCCCAAGGAAGAAGCTGGGCAGAAAGCACATCTGGCCTCATTAGAGAGCCTGCTCCTGCAGCTTTCAGAGCTCCTCAGGACTCTGAAAAGCGACTGCCACTGCAACATTGCTCACAAAGCCCTTTTCTCTCCCTGTCCCAGGACACTCTGACACCTGGGCAAGCCAGGGGCTTTGGCTGAATCTAATACAACAGCAGTTGGGTGATGAAGGGGACATCTGGGGAGCAGACGGGTGAGCCCAGAAATCATGGGATGGACAAGGCTGCTCCTCCGCCAGTGCCCAGACGCTTCCCGACGAGAGCCAGCGCTGGCTGCAGCACCGGCAGGCTGGGAGGAAGCAGCCTCCGGCCGGGCGCAGATCAGAAATTGCTCACAGCAAGCAATGGGGTGATACACAGCAGCTGGATTTTTCAAAACGACTGACTCAGGTTCAAAGAACACCTATTTTTCCTTTTCTGTCATTAAAGGACACCAGATATGTTTTACATCTACAAGTGTGGAGGCTTTGCTCTTTGTTTGAGTCAATCGCAACTGCTCTCTGCCTGCACAGAGCAGGAGCGACTTATCTGTGGAAGGAGGCAGAGCAAACTCTGCCCTTCCAGAGGTTTCTGCTGCCCAGCCGGCTGGATAACCCCGTGAAATTAATCTCTCGAGTGTTTCAAAAACACATTGTTCAGACTGATAACTGCATAATGGTACAGCTTTGCCGTGTGATGCAGACAGGGGTATGACCGCACTGGCCAGATGATGGTCCCCAGCTTTACAGGGTGATAAAGAAGCGCTGGGTTCCTCTCCTAAATAGGGTCCAGATGAGCTCCGGAGGAGCAAGCGCTCACTTACGTGGGGCTGCTGCACTGCCTCTCCGCGCTCTGCACGCCCGCACCGCAGCTGCGTGAGCAGGCAGCCCATGAGCTCCAGGAGCCCCAGCCACCGTCGATCGCGTCGGGACGGTAACCCACGGGCACGCACTCGCCGTTGAAGCACCACTGCAAGTGACAGGCCAGAAGAAGAGAAAATGAGGTTTAAGGATGCAATAATTGATGGTGAGTCACACAGCCCGGCCACAGGGAGCACTGAAGCCCAGCACCCATATTGCCCTGTGAAAATCCATGCTTCGCTCACACGGAGGTGCCTGGGGGTCAGCTGGGCTCTGCCACAGCCCGGTGCACCTCTAAGCAATGGGACATTGAGAGATGTTGGGCTGTTTGAGGATTTGCTTGAGGCAACATACCCAAACCTCCACCTGAGCAAGGGGATTCGTGGCCTGATCTCAGCCCCGAGGGAAGAGCCAGCGAGGCATAGCCACAGACAAAGGCACGGCGGGAGGTTTCGCAGGGAGTGGTGGCTAAGCCCAAGGTCATCCCCAGTGCTCTGGGGCCAGGGCTTTGGGAGGGGACACTAAACCTAGCGAGGACAGATGTCTATAGGTATTTTTATAACTCTATATTATGCTACCTTGGACAGGAAAACCATGTTCTGGAAGAGCGACGCTGCGTCGCAGGGCTGCTGCGGTACAGGAGCCAGCATCACCCTTGCAAGGGTGACTGGAGCTGGCTGCAGATAGCTGGCCCCCTCCACCCCCCATGCTTGGTGCAGCACCCGCCAAGCTGCCGTGGGTGCTGCCGGACCCTCTCTGCCCCACAGCAAGGAGAGGTGCCTCCCCAAGGGGGGGGCAGGTCCCGGAGACGAGCATCCACCACCACAGAGGGAGAGCCTTGTGCTCTCCTGCCATGGTAATTAACTGCGTGTTTCACCTTCTTAAGGCATTTTCAGCTTCACTGAAGGCAGTCCCTCCCTGGCAGCAGCGGGTGTTTGGGCAGAGCAAGGGCAGTGAGGTGAGCCCATCCCGGTACGCAGGAGCCTGTGAAATTCCTCTGCGTGCAGGACAAGGAGTCTCTGCAGCCGCGGAGGGGACTGCTCCCCATTACCTTGTTCTCCCCGCACGCAGTGCCGTCAACAGCAGCGTCCAGCTTGGAGTGGCACGTGTTCCCTACTGTGCACCACAGCGTGTGGCAGACACTCTGCAGAAAACACGGTTACACAGGACTCAGTTACTGGACCGGCCGACCCATCGGCACAAATTGGACTTGCAGGGAGAGGATCGCCCCGTGCAAACCCCCCCACCCCCAGATAGCCCCTCGGAGCCGCACAAGCCCGTGTAACATCAGGGGGGACCCTGGCTTACATCCATGTCGTCGCAGAAGGTGGAGTAGGCACCGTACTGCAGCCGGCACTGGTGGCCCACATCGTAGAGGACACCCGGGGGCACCAAGGGGTAGTCCAGCACCTCCTGGGCAGGGGGGTCATCCAGGCACAGCCCCCAGCCCCGGCTGAAAAACAGAGGTCAGAGCGGCATCACCACCAGCCCAGCACACTATAACGCTCCAGCAGCTGCTAACGGAGGAACAGAACAGCTCATTAATGTCCCACCATGATGAGAAGCAATTAGCATTTCTAGCCAATAGGACCCTGGCTCTCCAGTCAACCCTGGAGCCGCTCCAGCAGGCAGACAGGCACATGTGGGTACCTGCTTTTCGGAATGGGTGCCCGCTCCCAGAGCAATCACCCCACAGACCCCCGGCACGGTGGGTTATGGGGAAGGCGGAGGGGCAAAGGCAGCAGCGGCTTCTCTGTGCAGCTGCGGGGCCAGTGCCTTGCACACTCCCCCTTTCCCCCCTGAGATGCCCGTCTCCCTCTTATGGAAAGCCAGAAATGTAATTTTCTCTGGGAATAATCCCTTGGATTTTTGCTTTGTGAACAGGATATCAGCTCAGTCCTCAGCTGGGACCCGCTTTTGCCATTCAAGATAAAGGGTTTAATTGAACAAACATTTCATTGCCAAGAAACAGATGCTGTCCCCGCATTTGTACATCATGCTGACCCCAGAAATGTCCCTGTGGACAGCACAACCCATGTGTCAATGCCCTGCTAATAGAAATAAAGTAGACTGTCAGCAGCAAAACGCACTCACTCTCGTATTTGCTGCTACAAACAGTGCTCAAACTGTGCTGGACAGGCTGTCTTTAGAAAAGAGATATTAAAACTGAGCCATCAAGGCAGCCGGTGGCAGGCAGCCAGGCTGCGGGAGCCGCGAGGGATGTTCCTGGCCGCCTCTCTCGGCTCTGAGCGCTTTTGCTACGATACTTCACAAACACACAAGAAATTGTCACTAGTTAAGCTTTCAGTGTTGATTTAAACAAACTTGTTTCCAGCAAGGCAAAGTCTCTGGCGAGGGTTTCTCAGCAGATTAGATTACTTCGGCCTGCTGTGATTGGGAACAGGTCTAAATTAGTTTGAAACAAGATTCCTTTTTAACCCAAACCAGCAACACAGAAACAAGGGCCAGCAGCACAGGAGAGCTCCTGCTTTGGGGTGCCGGCAGAGCCACAAGGCGATGCCCGGCAGAACTGGCACGCTCTCCTCCCTTTTCCATCCCACCCCAGTGAGGTCCATACTGGACACCTGCACAGCTCACTTGGCTGAAGACAGCCCCTTAAAATACCATGTGTATATATTTTTATAAGCAGCTTCCCTATGGGAAAAACCAGTAAACAGGTTGCTTTCAGCAGCCCAGGGGCTTGAAAGTCTTTGTTCCCAAGTCCACAACAGCAGGAGCATCCTGCCTCTCCCAGCCTGGCAGGGAGGGAAGGATCGCTGCGAGTGATGCAGGGCTGAGCTGGGATGAATCAAGTGTGGATTAGGCAGCTGGACACAGTATCGTGGTGCAGCCTGTTTCAGGCATAGAGAGGTCACTGCATTGCACCTCCAGAGGTATTTTCTTTACCTGCTGGTAGAAAACACTTTAAAAGAGTATTTTCTTTAAAAATGGAAAGAATGATATCTTTGCTGGGGAAAGTCCAGGCTTAAGCACTGGGCTCCTGCATGAGCTACATGCATGATACTGGTGCTCCTCTGGACTAGTTCATCAACTGCTTGTTCAGGTACCAGCACCTGGGGCCCCGCACATCGCCCCAAAACCACTCCCAACCCTCCATGCCCTCTGATCTGCTCAAGACCCTTTCTGCCTTGCCCCAGCTTACGGGAGAGGTCTCTGTCCCAGTATGGGAGGTGATTTAGATTTGCTGTCAGCTTTCCAGTGCTATGTTTAAAATATATTTCTTCATTAAATATTTTACAATTGTCCTAAATATGTTACAATCACCCTAATATTTTACAATCGTCTCTTCCATTGGCCAAAATACATTACTGAGCCAGCAAAAATTGGCACAAGTTTCCCTCTGGCTTTGCAGGGATATGCAATAAACCACACTCTGCAGTAAAAATGCACAGGGGTCTGCACTGCATCTGCCTGTTTCAGTTCATTCGTTAACGAGCTGGATGATGGAGTAGATGGTATGATGATCAAATCCCCGTATGGGAGCAGGCTGGGAGGATCTGCAGATATGTTCAAGAGCAGGATTAAAATTCCAAAAGCTCTCAGAGAACTGGAGGAAGGGTCCAAAAAGCCAGGATGGAATTCAATAAAAACAAAGGCAAGGATTGGAGCTTGGGAAGAATCAGCTGCACGAACAGGGGATCTGGCAGAACTGACAGAGGAATGATGCAGCAGGCAGGGCTGCATGCTGCCGTTGGAGCAGGGCTGCAAAGGCAGGGAAAGACCAGCCGTCCCCAAGCTCCGGGAAGGAGATCAGCTGGAAGGAGCCCCTAGGAGGATGATGGAAGATGGCCTCCAGCACTGTGCAAAGAGGCTGAAAAACTGGTTGATCTAGAGAGAAGACTGAAGGGAGACAAGACAACCTGCAGCTGTGCCGAGGCTGCTGCTGAGATGAAGGGAGGCTGCTCCATACTGTCACGTGCTCATGGTGCAGGCAGGGGATCCACGAGATACCAGACCCTGTTTTACAAGGGTATTCCACCAGCCAGGCTGGGAAAGAGCTCACGTCACGGTGAGGGGTGGAGAGCAAAGAGCCTTACAGCATCTTCCAACTCCTCCGAGGGTTAGAGGGGAAAAAATCACAGAACGCCAAAAAGGGCTTATCTGGGAAGCGCTGGCATGTCCCAGGGCTGATGAGATTCCCAGGTCCGGAGCAGTGCCTCCACCACGGAAGCATCACCACCCACCCTGTGCCAGCCTCCCTCATTAGCCTGCATGATGGATGCTTGTTCCTTGGGGGCCACCGCCACCACAGCAGGGAGGAGACCCCTTCCATCACCCCTGGGTGTCCGAGCAGACCCCGACCCACAGCCTTGCCAAGAGGGTCACCCAGCCCCGGCTGCACCCAGGGCCTGACCCACAGCACCAGGGCCGTGCCGCTGTCAGTGACGGGAATCATCTTCAGATGCTTAAATGTTCAGCAGTGCTTGTAAAATAAAAATCTTTTGTAAAATAATAATCGTCATCTGAGAGTGCTTTTTTTAACAAACGCGAGGTCTGTTCCAAGCACATCCAGCAGCCCCAGGTCAGCAGGGTCTTATTTTCTGGCTCATTCCTTCCTGTTCTCCTGCCAACATCTTATTATAACACACTCATGTCTGTGCTGGCAACGGGCCTCTCCCTCACCGGGGGGATGTCACAGTCAGTGAAAGACGCCTGCCGGGCTCTGCTCCACTCGTAAGGAAGAGTTGCCCCTTCTAGGGGGAGCAAGGAGACCAAAACCCAACTGGAGAAGCATCCAGCTGCTCTGTTTCTTCCCCACTGCAGCTCATAGCAGCCCAAGGTCATTGCAAGCGGGAAATTCTTAATCCAAAAGTGAAGGTTAAAAGCAGAAGGCCAAGAACGCTGCAGATACAAGAAAGCTCCATTCCACCAAAAGGCGTATATCAACAATAATTCACCCTGCATGGAGGCCAAGCCCACATGTTCCAGGCTGGGATTTAGAAATGGGAGCTCAGCCCCGGGCAGCCTCCCTGCCATGTAAGTGCCAGTCCCTCGCCCAGCTCTCCCCATCACGGTTTCTTGCCGATGCTCTCACTGTTTTCTAACCTTCCCCTAGCAAGGAAGAAAAATGTTTCTCCAGTGCAAGCCACTGGCTGACAAACGTAAATCTCTGGGCCGCGTTCCTAAGAACTTAATAACAACAGGCTGAAAAATCAGCCACGGGGTGCTAAAAATAAACAAATGCACAGAAGAATTTGGCTTGGTCTCATTTCCTCACGTGATGTCTCCTGCCTACAGGCAAACATCATCTGCCCTGTGCAGAGCACCGAAGAAAACTGCACAGAGCATCGAAGAAAACCACTTCAGGTTTATTTGTTCAAGCCACAACCCCTGTGCCACCACCCAAATCTCGTGCTGCTTTTGTCTTCAACCCCCATCCTTCACAGCAAGGACCGAGGCAACCGAGTGAGATAAAAGCATCCCCACGTGCCCTGGGGCTGACTTCTGAGCGCAATTGCCTGGGTCAGTCCCCAGCTGCAGACCCAAGCCCCAAGCCACCCCCAGCACCCCACAAGCCAAGAAGAAGAGGAAAGGAGGACTTACTCAAGGAATCGTGTGATGTACTCCCGGCTGCAGCGGGACCAGGTGAGTGGGGACGTGTCATACAGGAGCTGTGGAGACATGATGAAAGGTCTTTTCCCAACTGGCTCACAGTCATTGCTGCTTCCATCATGCTGAATCCCAAAACTGTGTAAGAGCACAGTCCCACAAAGGAGAGGTGAGCCGCACGCCACTACAACCGCGCAGCCTCTCTGCTTTCCAGCACAACAACATGCAACGCCGGACATCATAAACCGTCCCAGCTCCGTGGGGACTCGGTCATTAACAGGACTGGGGGATCTGGCCATGTGGGACATTTCAGTGATACCAAGGACACTGCCCTGAACTTTGTCCCATGCTTTTATTTCAGCTTTCTTGCTGAAACCCAGCCAAGAAAAAAAGTAATGAGAGTATCGAACAAGATTGACTTAATTAAACTTGCTGGGTACACATTTTTACCATACAAAGATATCTCTTAGGAACTATGATGTTCAAGTGATCTTGTCAAAATTTAACTGAAATTAGGGCAAGCAAAATTCTGTCACTGATTCTATACGCAGAGCCTATTTTAAAACTTCTTAATGGGCAACCCTCTTCTCCAAAACTTTTAGCATCAGCAACACAGGATAATATACAAATGCAATTTGTCCAGGTTGCCTTGGATTATGGGATTTTCACTGAACCTGCGGCAACCAAAAACTTAACTCTGAAATGAAATTCCCAGGGTAAGTTCTTGTGGGTGCAGAGGAAGGTTTGCACCGGTGCGGAACTGCTCGGCAATCCTCTCCCAACTTCCACCCGTGCCTTCTCAAGCCCTGACTGAGCGGCGCAGAGGACAGAGGTCAGAGGAGAGGAGGAGGAAGCCGGTGGTACCTGTGTCCAAGCTCATGAGCCACGGTGAAGGCCAGGGGCAGTCCTGTGTCCTCGTTAATGTTGCAGCTCCTGTGGGGCTGGCACATCCCCGCCACGTGGGACAGACCCAGGGTCTCGCAGGGTCTGTTCATCGCTGTGCAGATGTCCTTCCTTGGGCGATGGAGACAACGAACACACAGACACAGAGCAAAGAGGGGGGTTGAGAACGGCAGGACCCAACACGACACGCGGGAAGGAGCATGGGACACGTCCCAGCCCACGGAGAATGACACACGGACGCTGGCCAAACAGAAGTGAGAATGGAGATATCCAACGTCTTTCCGCAACGGAAAGATTTACGACCTTTCCTTTCCCCTTTACTCTCCCGGTATCCCTGGCTTATTATTAAGCCTGATTAATGGGAACTGCTAGCCAGCCTGGCTACATTTATTCCATTGTATAAATAAAGCTGATGCTGAGAATAATTAAGTGATTACTACGTTGCTTGGGGAAGCACATCCCAGGAGTGCTGTGGTCCAGGGCAGAGGAGCACCAGCCACCCAGGAAGAACAACTCCATTGAAGTACACGGCCTTAAGTGCCTTATTTCTGCTACAAAGCAAACTTTCTAAAGAAGATGAAAACATTGTGGGTTGTGAATCATCACACAAACCACCACAATACTGCCAACAGACAAGCTGCTGCAGCATGAAACCATCAAACTACATTTTGACTGCAAGGTATATAAACTTGGCCAGAGGCGTGAATTCCTGCGAGCTTCATGGGAGGTCAGGGGCCTTCTCAGAGGCTCCTCTGCCAATCCTAGAGTTAGCCTCCAAGGGAAAAAGGAGAGTTAAGCCCTGTGTACATCTCCTGGGAGGATCCAGCCATCCTGGGGCTTGGCAACAGGGCCGTGGTGAAAATCTGGTTTGGAAATCTCAACTGCTAGTCAACTGGGAGCTGTCTCCAGGTTTAAACCTGAGATCTGAGACCAGTTCCAGCCACTAGGACCAGGTTATCTTTGGATTTCATGTTACATATCTTATGTGCAGATGTCCAGGCAGGGCTCAGGCATGGAGAGTGAGATTTCAACAGTTCCCACTGAGATGTTCCTCTGGCTGCCTGTCTGCTTCCCTGCCTGCAGCCGGCAGATGTGTTTCTAGCTGCCAGCATGGCATCTACAGCATAAAATTAGCACATGGGCACAATACCTTGTGAGCAGGACTGCAACGTCGTGATGCAGGGGATGAGAATCTCCTTTAATGTTGATGCTCTTCTGCCATTTGCAAAAGCTTTTCAAGGTGTTGTCTGCATGGTGGGAGATTTTCAGGTCCTCCTGCCAGCATAAATAAAAGCCTGCTGTCATATTGCTGCCAGATCTGTTTGGTTTTCAGGATGCAGTGGGGAGAGGTCTGATCTCAGACACATCAGAGTGGAATCGAGAGTAACTACCACCCAGATGGAATTGCTCCATATTTACAGGTTGTAGGCTGGGTGGGAATAGTCCTCTTCTGCTTTTTTTTTATCTATGATTCAACTGAAACATTTAGTCATCTGATAATGGGGGTTAAGAAACACTGCGGGAAAATACCATCCTGGCTGATGGGAAAGGACGCAGCTGGGGAGCCTATCTGAGGGGTATCAGGCTCCCTGAGAGCCACCGCTGCAGCTGGGAGCACAACCAACCAGCGATTCACAGCCCTCTGCTACCGGCGTTGATGCTGAGTTATCATAGATTAATATAAGAATCAGACTCTGCAGTCCCTCTGACCATGCCATCTGCCTGACTTCACCAGGGCTGCAGCCCACGCAGAAGACAAGGAAGCAAGGCACGGGCACCTGCGTTTATCTTATGAAAACTCATCCAGGCCATGAAGACAGCAGAAGAGAGAGCTTATGGGCTTTCAAGGCCAGCTCCCCGTGTATCCCAGCCTCGCTGCCAGGATGGGAGGGTGAGTCACCATGTTTTCTTTTTACCTCTTCATCCTCCAGCAGGATGAGTCGCACAATTGCAATGTTGATGGGGTTCCCAATGCTGGCGTGGTGGAACAGACCGGCCACCTGCAACAGGCAAGAGCCAAAGAAATAAAGCCCAAAGGAAAGACCTTGCCCTGTGACACTGCTGCTGGTAAGTACATCTGCAGGGGAACGTGAGCTCAAGGGGAAGCTACTGAAGGTTGTTGACAACATCTCAGGGAATTCCCCAAAACGAAGGACAAGACCAGATGCAGACCTGGACTAAAGCGTTCAGAGTGTAATGATATCCATTTAAAATCGATATAATCTGTGTAGCACATTGAAACAACCAGAAACACCCGGAGGAACACCTCTGCTTTCACTCCTAATGGATGCCTTTAACATCTCAAAGGAAGCCTGTGCTCTCCAGGTGCCTTCACCAACCCCCAGAAACCCAGGGATGTTACCGTGAGGTCCTCTGCCCAATCCCACACTCTTTTCTGGCCATCAACCCTTTTCTAAAATGCAAATAGCTGCTACCACGGCAGCAGAAGAGTGAACAGACTAAACTAACTCACACTGACATAACTGCTTGTTTTATGGCACCAGCAAACCGCCCCCAGATTTCCAGTGGAGACCACCACAATCCAGTGCTCCTTTCCTTAACTGTCCTCAGTGCCACCTTTCCAGGAAAGCTGTTCACATCCCTCCTACTAATCAGGCTAGTGCTGGCATTGGCTCCGATGGCAGCTGCCCCGGAGCGCTCCCTCTGCGAGCACGGCCACCCCTGAGTTCCAGGGAGTCTGAGCCAAAGCTCCCAGGTCCCCGCAGGTCTCTCCTCCTGCAAGGAGGTTTCCCTACCATGTGGAGGGCGGTGGGTGGACCTCGCGCAGGCTTCGGGGTGGTTTCAGCTTCAGCTGTGTCCCCGTGCCCAAGCTGCCTGCACGTCTGCCTGGGGAGAGCCGCAGTGGCACGACCCTGGGCAGTACCCACCACCTCCCTTCCCTGGAGCATCTCTGCCCTTGGGGTATCTCCCTGGGAGGCCAAGTTATCCATCCCCATGGAGGGAAGGAGAAGGGAACAGCCCTTGAGCTCATGGTGAAGGTGAAACCGTTGCAGGCTGAGCTGCTCCCGCCTGCATCCAAATTTTGGCCTCGGGCTTGCTGACACTGACCCATCCTCCCGCGGCGGATGGAGCATGGAGCAGAAAAGCCAACATGTGGGTGGGAACAGCCTGCCCAGTGAGAGGTTTGCTGAGGTCCCACCAGGGATGAGTCCTGGTAAGCCCAGTGGTCTTTATGTCTCACAGCCGTGTCACCAGGGACCTGGCGGCTCTGCCATTGAGAGGACCAGGACTCACCATGTTCATCACGGTCAGCACATACTTCTCTATGTTCTCTCTCCCATGGTATTCTATCATCTTGGTGTCTGCTACCACCAGTGTTTCCACCCACTTCTCCTTGCTGATGGAGCGCTGCTTTATTCTTCTCTTCCTGTGCTGCTTCTGTTCCCATCTTTCCCTCCGTTTCTCAGACCTCTCCAGGTTTTCCTGAGATTCTGAGGGATTAAAGGGGGAAAAAAGACTTCTTTTTTTTTTGTAAAATATCTGCAGCTTTGGTAAAATATCATCAAGGGCTTTTTTTTTTTTTCAGTTCAAAGAAACAACCTTTTGGTGTTGAGAAGGAGGCTCCACACACTTAGACCTACATGTATTTTGCTGTGCTGTATGTTCCAAAAAATTACTGTGGGGTGAAGACTCTGACCTCAGTCTGTTGCACAGCAGCATTAGCATGACAGAGAAAAAAAAATTAAAAAAGCATTCAAAGTAATTTTTTGACTGGAACAGGGTTTGCAATATTCCACGAGGAACATGGAGCCTCCCAGAGCAGAGTGCTTAGGGTTTGTATTGACATATGAACTTATAGGCAACCCTGCCGAGATGCTTGAGCATGTACCACCAAGAAACAACCCCAGTGGCTCAACATTTCTGATTATCATCACAAATCTGTATTTTGCAGGAGAGACAGTCCCCCAACACGATAAACTCTTTGGCCCCAAAGCTGGACTGATGTCTTGAGCCAAATCCCAAAGATCATCAGTGTCCAGGGCAAGACCAAGACATTGCAGGACTGCACAGAGATTTCCTCAGCCACACGGAGACTGAACTCTGCTCCTTCCTGGGGAGAAACAAGGGGAACATTCATTGGGCTGAAAAGAGACGGGAGGCGGAGGAGAGCTCGGATGCTCCTCACGCACACCAGCAACTGGGAATTCTCATGCGGAGACTTTTCCTGTGACGCTGCTCCAAGATCAAGGTCAGGGTCAGCCCCAAGCTGGGTAAAGGCTTTACAAACCGCATCCCACACAGGGGGAATTGCTTTTATGACCATTTTCTAAGGGTTCAGCCTTACTTAGTTAACAATGGACTTTTACATTTTATGGACTATACTGTACATTAGCTGTGAAAGAGTGTTTTATCCCCCAGCCTGAAAAATCCCAAGTATCTGGATAATTTGATGAATTGCCAATACCACTGTGACAGTTTAATCGCAACAGCTTCCTTGGAGCTTGTTTCCATTGTGTCCTTTGCTGCTAAGCTTCCAGCCGGGACGTGAAGGTACTGCAGAGAGGATGGGCGCAGAGGGCTCCCGGGACCCCAGGGAGGACTCGTGTGGCATTTTCCCTTTCAGATCCCTCTTAAACACTCACCCAGCTGTACACACAGGCTGCACTATGTATTGACAGAAGCTAAATAACACCTAACAGCCTAACACCATCTGGCTGTGTGGTGTTTTGCAAAAAAAACCAGCAATACATCAGTACAAAATGAAAGGCTTGCAGCAATTAAAATCCTACAGACTTTTGGTTTCCTTTTCAGGGCATACACATCACATCCACTTTTCTAGCTCAGATTGCAGTAGAGATCCATATGCATTACACACGGGCCATATTACACCCAATGAAATTCATTTAGAATGAATAGACTTCAAAGTCTAAAAGGAGCCATTATGATTACCATAGATTAAATAAGTAACTTAAATTAACAGAAGAATGCCTGAAGATAACCTGATGATAGGAAAAAAAACAGTTTCCAAAAGCAGAGAGCTCTAGGAAATAAGCAAAACAAGACACACTGCCTGGAAGATGCAGCTTCACCGATGCAGACAAGGAGTAAAGCACCCGTGAGCTGCTGGGGATGCACTGAATCCCTCATTACTTGAAATCTTGGGCTTGGAAGTTTATCCAACCCATCTGCTCTAGACAGAGGAGAAGGAACCGGCATGCACTCTCTGCCCCGCAGCAGAGAGACTCCTGGGGCAGCGACCAGGTTCCACTCTGAAAGTTCAATGCCCCGACAGGTCAGAAAACAATGTTTGCAAGGAAATGAAAATAAATACTCAGTCTCCACATCACAGAATGCTTGCAGCAGGGCTGGGAGGAAAGGATGAGAGCGACAGGCCTGAGGTTCAGCACGCCTTGAGTCGTATATGTGAGAAACGTAAGCAAATACAGAAAAATTGGCAGGAGAAAAAAAAAAAAACAACCAACAACTCTGTGCTCTGCAGTGATTCCCGTGACTTGTGATTAATGCCACAAACCCACCGCCTGGTGCTCAGCAAGTGAGATCTCCTGACTAGCAGTGTGAATGAGCCTTCCTGCAATAAAAATGCCTATGGGAATGCTTGTGTGGGCACCCCTGGGGCCATGGGGCTGGCCCTCAATCAGCAGCTCCAGGCTGTCGGACACCCACCCACCAGTGGCACCACTGACTGTGCACCTCCCACGCCAAATGCCACCCCACAGCGGGACGCCGCACAGCCCACGGTCCGTCCCCTCCCCACTGTTGGCTCAGTTTTTTGGTCTGAGGGTTTTCTTCCTTGCCAGCCTACGTGGCAAGAGGGACCTCCAGCCCAGCTTGCAAAACTCTAACTATGAGCAATGGGTGTCATCGATGGATGCTAGAAGCTTAGGATGGGAGCCAAATGCCAGGGTTTAAGACTAACGAGTCTGCGGAGGCAATGCAGGGGGCTGAGGTTTGGATCTGCTCCCTTTATCTTTCTACAGTGTGCTTCATGTGAATCCCAGGACCCAGCTGCTACCAGCTCATTGCAAAAATGCAAGAGGAAGGGGACAATACCTTGCACACCACAGGTTTCCCGTGGAGCTAGTGGCCTCCTGCCTTGCTCTGGCCCGTGCTCAGGCACCTGGCGCTTGTATATCCTGTGGGGCTGCGCCACTCCATCCTCCTGAAAGCTGGTGGATACCGGTTCGATGAAATAGTCCTCGTTCATGAGCCGAAACACACCTTTCTGGCAGGGAGAGACAAAGTTGTCACTGTGAAGCCACCTGCATCTAGCACAGACTCACACTAAAGAACCCGGGAACGGGAGAGGGTTTGCAAAATTTTCCAGGAGGAAACAGGTCTTCTCTAAAGAAACTGTTTTTATGGGTATTTTGAGCTCTAAACTCCCAGACAAAAGAGAACAAGCCAGCATGGATTGATCATTAAGACAGTAAAAAGCTAAAGAGATCCCATCATAAAGTGCGGATGGTGATGAACGCAATGGGTGTCTGATAGCGAGGAGCTCAGGGGCAGCAGGCATGCTGAGACAGAGAAACACCTTCTCCAGAGAACCAGAGCACCCCAGGAATATGCACATATGGTCTGGGACTGTGCTCCTTCTACCTCTCTCTGACCTTCCTGGAGACGCTCTGGGGACTCCAGGCAGACAGCCCAAAGGACAGCTTGGACCATAGTGCAGCACCAGAGTTTTGAGTAAGCGTTGCACAGACGAAGGTCTTTTCCTAAGGACATCCTAAGACACAGACAATTGCTTCTGGCCTTTTGCACTGCCTAAGCACTACCATTGTGAACCATCGGGTTACAGACTTCCCGCGGTCAAAGACCAGAAAACCTCCAGGGAAGAGGAAGAGGAACCTGCAGCAGCACTTGATCATGGCAGGAACTCCAATCAAGGAAAGTCAGTCCCAGGACAAGGAGCACAGCCCCTCCACGCAACAACGGGAGGATGTGTTATTGACATCTCTCGTTTAGCAGGAAATGACACCCTAAAACTTTCTTTGGTTAATTATGACCCCCCTGACCCTGGCCCAGATGCAACACATCCTTATGGACTCACCCTGGACTCCCCAGCCTCCACGCATCTCAAGAACAAACAGCTGCAGTCGCTGCATGGGAAGCTCTTTGGATGGGTAGCTTCATCCCAAGGAATGGGAGCTCCCATGGGAGTCTGCAGCATCAAGGGTGCTGCCTTGAGGAGTGTTTTGTAAATGTATTTTGTGCCATAAGACAATTCCATCTGTTCTTGGCTGCTTCAGAGCAGCCTCACGGTGTCTGGAGCAGGCTGAGGTGTCCTATGCTTACTCAGGAGCCTGTTCATGCTCAGTTTTACTTACCATGCTTTTGCTCTAACATGTTTGTTATTTTTCACACCCCAGGACAGGGCAGGGACAAAGACAGAAAATCAAAACACGCCACTCCAACTGTTTCCAAGATACAACAGGACTTGAGCCTACCAGGGATGCTTTGTCACTGCTCATGCGGTGCCAGGGAAGAGAAAATGGCTTCCTCCCTAATTAACTCCTTGCAAATGTAAAATAACAAGAAGGAAACACCATGGGGATGGGGAAGGAAGGGAAGGAGGCCACAGATATGATTTCTTCTCCATTTCCTGATGCAGGTTATTGTGAGCCAGGAAGGGAACAGAGACCTCTGCCCCAGCTGAAATCTGCCCAGGGTGCCCTGAACAGGGGCCACATTTCGTCACCGGTTGTTCTGTGGTAGCACCGAGTGGCATCTGCTGCCCATGGGAAGGTCCGTTTCTCTCTGTTTAAAACACACCTGGTTAACCTTTCTGCACCTTGCATGTCCCAGTCCAGCCCGGTAAGCAGTGTGAGCATCCCTAACCTCTGCCTCCCTCATGCTTGCTCATCACAGTCTGTAACAAGAATAAGAAATCCCCTTGGAGAAGGTGAAATTGCACTGGCAAAACTACACAAGTGAGAGCAGAATCCAGCTCCTATGACTATATTTTATTTTATTTTAAAATCATTGACAGGAGGAGTTTGAAGTCTTACAGTAGTGTGGTAAGAAAGATGAAGCCTGGTCATGGGAACAGGGATTGCAGAGGCTGGCTGAGGATGTCAAACAAGGTACCATCACTGTGTGCCACACCAGTAGCTAATGCTGGAGCAGGCGCTGCACCAACGATGGTAGCGCGGAACTCGGCCCTTCCAGGCACTGAGGAGATTCGGTTCAATACATGAGGATGCCACAGGCAGGAATTTTGGGAGAGCCCATCTGTGCTTTACAACTGGGAATGGCAGAGTGCTTTCAATACAGCAACACTGGGCTCGACATGCAAGGTATCACCACCATATTACCTGTATAAATGTAATATACTGCCCTAGCCTGTAGCTCTATGCTTCCCCACACCTGAGTCAGCTCCTTGTTTACATCCTGTAATACCGACCATGCTTACAAGTGGCATGTGAGTAATTCCCTGTGATGAAGCAGTACCTCATTACTTCACTTTCCATAATAATTATGAGACATGCAGCACATTGCTAAGTACAGTTTTCCGTGATTTCATGTCTGACTGACAAAAAGCCATGGTTATTTTAAGACTGAGGAGAGAAGGTTTAAAGCAGCTTAAGGCTGCGGTTTGCTCACCACTCGCAGTTTATGGACGGCAGACTCTCTTGCAACATTGTGCTAATGCTTTTTGTGAGCTAACAACTTTTCCTGCTTCTTAAAAAATACTAATCCGTAGCATTTGCAGGATACTGTTCATTTTCAACACATTTCACAGACCGTAATGATGGGGTTCACCAAACACCACTATGAAATGGGTGTTTTCAAGTGACACATTATGTGGATGACAAATTACGTAACGAGTAACTTCCTTTTTGCTCTCCCATCTGTGGTTAATTCACAAAGAGAAGTCTAATTCTCTTAACCAGCATGTGTTTCGAATGACCTCGTGAACATCCTTCAGCCCATTCACTATTAGCAGCTTGGTTTTGCCTGACTCACGCTGCAAGACTGGACTTCTGACAGCAGATTTCAGCTCACTGGCAGGACAAGGCCATGCAAACATTTCCAGAACCATCAGGTATTACCAGGGGTCTCCCCATGCAAATACACATTCATGGGAGCGTTTGTGACACTTTCTACTTCTGTGTACACGGCAGCTGTCAGTGTTTCTCTCATACAAACATTCACAGAAAAATGGATCAAGAGGTTGTAGGTTCCTCCCAGGTGCATCAGTCTATTTTTTAACTGAATGCTGGGCCTGGCTATTTTCTGCAGCCTTCATCCCCCTGGAGACAGGAGTGCTGCATGAAGTGCAAGGTGCTGAACACCTTCAACTGCTGTTAAATTTGGTAGGAAAAGAGCAACCAACACCTTCCAGGACGTGCCCAGCTCCTGTCCTGCCAGTCCTGTGCCGCCATGCAGCGGGGAAGGTCTGAGCTTTCTTCTTGCAGCTTCAGGTGACAGAGAGGCAGCAGCAATGCTCCCCGCTGCACGCCTGTGCCCTGCACTCTGCTTTCCCCAAAATCCAGCAGTGCACTCTTGCACCTCCAGACAAAGCACAGTGATTTGGGTGGCCTCTGCAGACCTGCCATTTAAAAGCCACCCTGCTCCACCAGGCTAACTCAGCGTACAGACACACTGCCTTTATTTAAACACAGGAAGCTTAAAATGCAAACACAGCCCCCAGCCAAACGAAGCCACCTGTGGCAGCCAGCAGATCGATGATGAGCCAAAGGAGTCATCATCCCTCCAACCCCAGGGACGCTGGGCGCAAGCACTGCTGGTGATCCCTCCCTCCGCAGCGGTGCCTCCCTTTGCCCCCAAAAGGAGAAACCCACCCCGCTACACCCACCACTTCCAGCGAACCCCAGCACCTCTGTCAACCCACAGCCCCTGCTCAGGAACTGGGGTCTGCGTGTCATGGGACCTACCAAGTTATATGGTAACACTTCTGCAAACCCCCAAGGGGCTTTAAAACCTGTGGGGACGTGGTACCTGCGCCAGCTGGATGCCAGCTCATGCGGATATGGACGTTTATGCTGAAGTCCTGAATTTGCCCTGCCAAGCACTGATACAACAGCCTTAATCCTGAAATCTGCTTTGCCTTTCAGCAAATCTTACACTCTTACAGGTCACTGTCGCCTTTGAAAATATTTGCAGTGGAATAAGGCAGCGGAGGTGTTCACAAAACATAAAGAAGTTTAGCTATACATGAGCTGTGTTATCATAAATACCTCCAGGCTTCAAACACCTTGTTTTCAGATGGGTTTCTCATAATCCTACATTTATGTCCTAGAAGGCAGAGGCAATATGAGAATTGCTCTCTTTGGGAATTTGGACACAAACAAGTAAACACAGTCCCAGAGAGTTCCCAAACCACTGGAATCCATGGGAAATTTACAGTCAGCTCATCCACGGCCACATCAGACCTATGCAGTGAGATCCTGACTCTGCTGCTGTTGGAAGGAGTTTTGCTACTGCTTTCAGCAGAAAAAAAGATTTCACACAGTTTCTGCTATTTCCTTATTGATTAAAGATCTCCGTACTTACCAGGCCATCACATGTGCTGAGCGCGGCCAGACCTCCTGTCAGCACCTGGCTCCGAACCTCCCCGATCATATGGCAGGAGTTGTACGTGTGAGACTGGATCTTGGCATTGGCGATCCCCCCGTATCGCCTCTCACTGACAAACCCGGGCGCCAGGAGATTGTTGTTAATGCTCAGGTTGAATTTCAGGGGCTGTCCTTTGTAATGCAGTTCATAGAAGGCGAGAAACTTGCTCCTGGAGGAAGGAGACCTTCGGTGAAGTGCTCGATGGGACAAATCGTAGGACAGGAACGATCCGCTCTCGTCAACCTTGATGGGATGAACAATGTCGCTGCTGGAGTAGGGCAGAGCACGCTCTGGGAAGAAAGGGGGTCAGTGGTTAGCTTCAGGGTTCATCACCTTTCCTCTCCTACCCCTTCAGCTGGATGCTGAACTCCCAAAGGCAGCCCAGTGGGCTCAGGTACCCAAATACCAGTTGGACCCGGTAACCGGTGCATCCACTGCCGCTGCTGAAGGCACGGCATGGAGCAGGGAAGGGCAGGAACCCCACAGCCGTGGGGCCCCACGCTGCCCCTGCTGCCCTCGGGGGGCCAGGAGCTAGGATTTTCCCTGGGGGAGGGCTACGGGCAAGGTCGGGGTAGGCTGGGGAGGGATGGACGGAGGTACGGGGGGGCCGTGCAGCTCCAGAGCCCCGCTCCGGCCGGGGCTGGTCCCCGTTTCCATGCGTGCGTTCCCGCCGTTCAATTACCTCTGCCGGGAAAAAAAAACCAAAACAAACAAAAGCCCCCCAAATCTCAGTTTTGAAACGGTGTTTGGAAGCCGTCTCTGGGGGCAAAGCACCCCCCCGGGCACCGACGGCCCCGGCGCTTCCCCGGCTGGGTGTGCAGCGCTGCGGCCGCGGGGAGCCGGGGACGGGGCAGGGGGCAG